ATCGATGCTTCTCTCTCATCAATGTTTCTAACTCTCTATTCCTCGCCCTTCCTCTCTGTGAAAAATCAATAAAATATATTTTTTTTAAAAATAGCTGGTAGAAGCAGTTAGAAGCCAGAGGCAGGGCCTGCTAAGGACACAGGAGCCCTGCAGTGTCAGATCAGAGGGGGGCGCTTCTGTTCACTTCCCGGCAAACACTGGCTGCGTCTGCACTGCAGGCCGGAGCGTGCCCTGGAGGCGACCGTGGCCCTGCCCTGCCCTGCCCTGCCCTGCCGGCTTGGAGACCAGCAAACCAGCCTCGGTTCCAGGGGCAGCTCCCGTGACCCCTGGGCCTCGTGGAGGACAGCACGGTCCCTGGGCAGTGAGGCTGCATCTGATGGAAACAGAGGGGTCCCCAGGGCTGTTCCCCCAGGCCTTTTCTTTACTTAGTACTGCTTCCTCCCAGTAGTACACGGTGAGCCACACCGGCCAGGCTGAGGCAGTCAGTCCATCTCAGCCGGAGAAGCGAGCGTACCGCTGGCTTGTGACGCTGTGCACGGCTGTGTGGAGGTATGCCGGCGTGCCAGCCCCACACGGGACTGTGGGAAGGTCACGGTCCATGTGCACCGCGTGGGGTGACAACCAGGATCCTCCCCTCCCAGGTCCCCAGCACCAAAGGTGTGTGGGCTGCTTTGTGCCCGTTCTCCAGGGCCCATTTTATTTTATTTACTTTATTTTATTTTTTTTTAATTTAATTTTATTATTTTTTATTTTATTTTACTTTATTTTGTTTATTTATTTTACTTTATTTTGTTTATTTTACTTATTTTGTTTATTTTATTTTTATTTTTTATATTATTTTATCTTATCCTATTTTTATTTATTTATTTTTATTTTATTTTACTTTATTTTACTTTATTTTGTTTATTTTATTTTTTATTTATTTTATTTTATTATTTTTTATTTTTATTTTTATTTTTTTTTATTACTTGAGGCCTGGTGTCCCACATTTGTGCACTGCGGGGAGGAGGCCTGCTCCCTCTCACAGTGTGGGACCCTTTGGGGGATGTCCGCCTGCCAGCTTAGGCCCGCTCCCCGCAGTCAGGCATCCCTCGAGGGTTCCTCAGTGCTGCCACGAAGGCAAAAGAGGCTCCACCCACTGCTCCTGCGTTGAGCTTCTGCCCCCTAGTGGTCAGTGCACGTCATAGCAACCAGTCATTCTGCCGTTGGGTTGATTTGCATATTAGCCTTTTATTATATAGGATTTTTAAATATCTTTTTTATGGATTCAGAGAGGACAGGAGAGGGAGCAGGAGAGAGAGAGAGAGAGAGAGAGAGAGAGAGAGAGAGAGAGAGAGAGAGAGAGAAACATCAGTGACGAGGGGGAACCGTGGATCGGCTGTCCCCTACTGTGGATCAAGCCCACAACCTGACCATATACCCTGACCTGGAATCAAACTGTGACCTCCTGGTTCATAGGTGGATGCTCAACCATGAGCCACGCCGGCCAGGCGATCTTGGAAAACCTTGAGCACAGTGAGAGCTGCCCAGTCCTGGCATGGGCCTCCTTGGGAAGGATTGAACACCTTCCTCTCAATCAGAAGACCTCAGCCATAAGGGCATGGTCCCTGGCAGGGAGGTTGTGACTGCAAAACCCCATAGACCTCACTACTGGAGGAACAGGAAAAAAGCCATTAAGCCCTGGTTGCAGGCTCCTCCCCGGTCGAGGCATGTGCAGGAGGCAACCCATCGATGTGTTTCTCTCACATCGATGTTTCTCTCTGTCTCTCCCTCTCTCTTCCATTCTCCCTAAACATCAATGGGAAAATATCCTCGGGTGAGGTTTTAAAAAACAAAATTAAAAAGTCATTTAAGCTGAAACCAGTGTGGCTCAGTGGATAGAACTTCGGCCTGCAGACTGAAGGGTCCCAGGTTTGATTCCAGTCAACGGTACGTACCTTGGTTGCGGGCACATCCACAGTGGGGGGCGTGCAAGAGGCAGTTGATCGATGACTCTCATTGATGTTTCTAACTCTCTATCTCTCTCCCTTCCTCTCTATAAAAAAATCAATTTTATATATATATATATATTTTTTTTTTTTAAGTCATTTGATCCACTGTGTTATGTGGGAAAAGCATCGATGTGAAAGAGACACATCACTTTTGCTGCCTCCCACACACCCCTAGACCAGGGCCAGGGATGGGGCCCACAACCGAGGTCTGTGCCCTTGACTGGAATTGAACCCGGGACCCTTCAGTCCACGGGGCCAACGCTCTATCCACTGAGCCACACTTGCCAGGGCCAGTCCCATAATTTGATGGAATAAAGGCCAAGGCTCAGGCCAGGTTGGCAATACGGCACAGAGTCTACTGATGAGGAAGGGAAGGATTTCCCTGTTCCTAGCTCTGGGTCTCTCTCTCTCTCTTCCCTCCCCGCCCCCCCCAACAGCCTCACGCAGCAGCATTCAAATACCAGGCACCCCCTCTCCCCTCCCTCCGCCCGGGTGCACCCTCCCCTCCCCACGTCCCGCACGGTGGCCTGGCAGAGTCCTGGCGACGCTTGGAACCCGGACAGAATGGAATGTCTCCCTGTTTTCCTTACAGCGAAGAAAACACACACACACACACAGACACACACACACACACACACACACACACACACACACATGCGCGTGGGCCTATTTACCGGCGGTATTTCTATCCCCGAGTTTGTCTTTAAAAAAAAAAAGAAGAAATAAAATTAGTTTTGCTGCCCACTCCACACACACACACACACACACACACACACTCACACTCACACACACACATATCCCCACCCTTTTCATGGCTGGTCGAGGAGACCTGGGGTGGGACTCAGAGCCGGCCCACGGCCCCCAGAACCACAGCGTCCAGGACAATGCCGAGCTTGTCTGCAGCGAGGGGAGAGACACGGCTCCGAAAACATACTCGCCGCGGCCCGGGAAGGGCGTTCCGAGGCAGGACGGACAGACAGGCGGGCCTTGTGTCTGGCTGGACACGGATCCCTGAGGCAGGAGCCCACACATCTCGCCCCCTCCCCTTGGGGTCCCCCAAGGGGCTGCTTTCCAGCTGTGACTGGTCACGTGAGACCATGGCAGCCCCTCTCGGAGCCAGAATCTGGAGCCCCAGTTTTTTGTGTGGTTTTTGATGTGTTTTGTTTTTTAATATATTTTATTGATTTTTTTTTTTTTACAGAGAGGAAGGGAGAGGGATAGAGAGCCAGAAACATCGATGAGAGAGAAACATCGACCAGCTGCCTCCTGCACCCCCCTCCCCCCCACCGGGGATGTGCCTGCAACCAAGGTACATGCTCTTGACCGGAATCGAACCCGGGACCCTTGAGTCCGCAGGCCGACGCTCTATCCACTGAGCCAAACTGGTTTTGGCCTTTTGAGTGGGTTTTTTTTAGGGCAGCATCTAAGGCACATGTGTCAAACACAAGGCCCGCGGGCCAAATCCGTCCCGCCAGGCCTTGCAATGTGGCCCGCACCGCGCTGTCATCACTGCACTCCGCTGTGTTTCCATCACAATGACAGTTTATGACTGTTCAGTAAACCGTTCAGCCCGCGATTTAGGCTGGATTTTAGATTTTGGCCCCTTCTCTGATTGAGTTCGACACCCCTAATCTAAGGAACAAAGTCCCAAGGAGGAGTGTGAGGGGGCTGTGTCTTAGGGCTTTGGGGTTTCCTAGACTTCCTGCCCTGTGAGGGAGACACACCTCCCACGTCCATCTCAGTGCCCCCTGGAGCACTCAGATCGTGAAGGGAAGGTCACTCAAACAACAGGCCCGTCTGGCTCGTGTGCTCAGTGGTTAGCGTAGACCTTGGAACCAGGAGGTCACGGTTCGATTCCCAGGCAGGGCACCTGCCCAGGTTGCAGGAGCATGCAGGAGGCAGCTGATTCTCTCTCATCATTGATGTTTCTACCTCTCCCTTCCTCTGAAACCAATAAAAATATTTCTTGAAAAACTAAAAAAAAAAAAAAAAAAAAAAAAAAACAGCCCAGAAAGGTTGACACCCAAGAGGGTCCCTCAGAGTCCTGGGTCCTGCCCACAGCGCCCCCATACGTCCCTGGGATGGGTACCCAGACTAGATGGGAACCTCAGTTGGACAGGAATCCGCCCAGCCCCATCCGACAGTGACTGAGCCAGCAGCGCCACCTGCTGGGCCATAGGGTTCTGACAGGCTCAGCTGGGTGAACTCCATCCTTGTCTTTAGCTGCAGGTCGGCCATCCCCTTCAAGGCTTCCTCTCTCCCTGTGGATTGTCTGTGCTGCAAACATGTCTGTTTTTTATGACACACGGAGTGGCCAGATGATTATCATCTCTGAACCCATACTCATCTGGCCACTCCGTGTAAATCCTATAGAATAAAAGGCTAATATGCAAATTGTCCCCTCGACCAGGAGTTCGACCAGCAGGCAGGCCGGGCAACCGCCCATGTCCCCTCCCCCTGGCCAGGCTGGCCGGACCCCACCCATGCACGAATTCATGCACCGGGCCTCTAATATATATATGTGTGTGTGTACACACACAGAGAGAGTGACCAGATTATTATCCGTTCAAAGATCATCATCATGTGGCCACTTAGCATATATTCTTATTGATTTCAGAGAGGAAGAGAGAGGGAGAGAGAGAGAGAGAGAAACTTCCACGATGAGAGAGAATCATGGATCGGCTGCCTCCTGCACACCCCCTACTGGGGATGGAGCCCACAACCCGGGCGTGTGCCCTTGACCGGAATCAAACCCGGGACCCTTCGGGTCCACAGGCCTTCACGCTATCCACTGAGCCACACCAGCCAGGGCGTGTGCCAATTGCTCACGGACTGGAGAGGAGGGCGGGGCAGGTGCCAGTGCAGGTCCGTGCAAAGGGGCAGGGGGGTGGGGGGTGACCAGCAGACAGCCTCGGGCACATGTGACGTTTCTCTTCGCGTATCCTGTGTCCCTCCTCGGCCTCCCTGCGTCTGAACCCCCAAATAACCCTCCCGCCTCCCCTCTTCCAGGTGAACTATGACCACTTTACTCCTCCTGTTGGTGACCCTCAGGGTCACGGCCGCCGCCGCCATCTCCATACAAGTCTCAGGTGAGGACATGCGCACGCCGGTCCCATCCCTCCGGTCCTGAGCCCCGTGTTGCTGCTGGTCCCAGAGATAGAGCCCCCCACATCCTGGCCTTTTCCCCCCAGCCCTCCCTCTTTTCTGTATCATTGAAGCCCACCGCAGTGACAGAGGAAGAGAGAGGGAGAGAGAGAGAAACATCAATGATGAGAGAAAATCATGGATCGGCTGCCTCCTGCATGCCCCACACTGGGGAGCACACGCATGCGTCCAGGTGCCCTCTGGGATGGACAGCTGCAGGGGGGGGCGTGGGGCGACCAGGCAGGTGCCCACCTTCCCAGGACCCCCTCCAGGGGTCTCCCCTAGAATTGCTTGCACATGGAGTTTGGGATCGGGGCCCTTGAGGAGCCCAAAGAGAAAAGGCTGCCAGGGAAGGACGGGCTGTGGCCACAGAGAAAATGGCCTGAGACACAGAGAGAAGCCCCAGGCCGGTGGTCGGCAAACTCATCAGTCCACAGAGCCAGATATCCACCGCACAACGATCGGCATTTCTTTGGAGAGCCACAATTTTTTAACATATATTTTATTGATTTTTACAGAGAGGATGAGAGAGGGAGAGAGAGTTAGAAACATCGATGAGAGAGAAACATGGATCAGCTGCCTCCTGCACACCCCCCACTGGGGATGTGCCCGCAACCGAGGTCCATGCCCTTGACCGGAATCGAACCCGGGACCTTTCGGTCCGCAGGCCGACGCTCTATCCACTGAGCCACACCGGTTCCGGCTAGAATGTGTTCTATTGAGCGATCTTAAAAAGCTTAAATACCTTAGACCCAGGGTCTCCCCGTGTCCTCTTGCCCTGAGACCCACAGAGACGCAGCCCCTGGCGGGAACCCACAGGGAGGGCAGGGGTGCCCACACAGGTCCATGCCCATTCCCTGGGGGGGTACGGTGGAGAGCTTTAAAAAGGGCAGAGCCAGCCGAAACCAGTTTGGCTCAGTGGAAGAGCGTCATTCTGCAGACTGAAGGGTCCCAGGCTCGATTCAGGTCAAGGGCATGTACCTTGATTGCGGGCACATCCCCGGTGGGGAGTGTGCAGGGGGCAGCTGGTCGATGTTTCTGGCTCTCTGTCTCTCTCCTTTCCTCTCTGTAAAAAATCAATAAAATATATTTAATAAATAAATAAATAAATAAATAGGGCAGAGCCGGGCCCCCCGCTCCTCAGCCTGGCCCCTCTCAAACCCGCTGGGCTGTGGACCTTCAAAGAGAGGTTTGTTGCCGAGGGGCCCGGTGGTGACTGCCCAGGACACCAAAAGGTTAGGGCTGGACCCAAACATTTTTGGCTCCCCTGTTCCCTGCGCTGGTATGTACCTCTCACCCACAAGTATCTGAAGCATTTTTACGTCCACCCCGCAGCCTGTCCTGGAGGGATTGGCGGGGGGGAAAGGTCCCCTAACGCTGGGATTCGCCATGAAAGGGGCCGTTTTTCCCCAAAGCTGTTTGCAGTCCTGTTCCAGGATGACCTTGACTTCTAACGGGGCTTGGTGAACCACAGCAGCTTCACCGTGAATTCTCTCTGTGATTTCTTTTTTTAAGGAGAGAGAGAGAGAGAGAGAGAGGGAGAGAGAGAGAGAGAGGGAGAGGATAAGCTGCCTCCTGCACGCCCCCTACTGGGGATGGAGCCCGAAACCCAGACATGTACCCTGGCTGGGAATCGAACCGGCGACCTCTCAGTGCGTATGGGATGACGCTCAACCATCTGAGCCACATGGTCCAGGACTCTCTGAGGTTTTTGTGTGTGTGTGTGTGTGTGTGTGTGTTTTTAAATATATTTTACTGATTTTATACAGAGAGGAAGGGAGAGGGATAGAGAGCTAGAAACATCGATGGGAGAGAAACATCCACCAGCTGCCTCCTGCACATGCCCTACTGGGGAGGTGCCCGCAACCCAGGTCCATGCCCTTGACCGGAATCGAACCTGGGGCCCTTCAGTCTGCAGGCCGACGCTCTATCCACTGAGCCAAACCGGTTTCGGCACTCTTCTGAGTTTTTATGGAGTCTGAGCATAGCTCACCCCGACCTCTTTGCAGACTTAAATGTCTGATCTCCTCCGATGCTTCCCCCACAGCAGAAGACAATGAGTTGTCTGCTGGCAAAGCCGGGGTAAAGCCCAAGGCTGACCTCACACTGAGAGGCACATCTCTGACGTTTTGTGGATTTTTTTTCCTCCCCCATAACGATGTTTCTGCCCCCAAATAACTTTTCTCCAAGTCTTGCAATCAAGCTGTCACTCCAGGAAGTGGGTTCCTGTTTATCCGGTGGCTTGGCATTCCCTAAGGCACCTTCGTTTGAGAAACAGATGGCCTTCCTCCCTCCCCCCACCCCCCAAATATACTTTTAGTGATTTCAGAGAGGAAGAGAGATAGAAGCATCAATGGTGAGAGAGAATCCTGGATCGGCTGCCTCCTGCACGCCCCACACTGGGGATCAAGCCCCCAAGCATGTGCCCTTGACGGGAATCGAACCCAGGCCCCTTCAGTCCACAGGCCGACGCTCTACCCACTGAGCAACACTGGCCGAGCCGGAGAAGTGGTTTTGACCCTGAAGTCCCCCCCTTGCCCTCCTCCTTGGCAACCCCTTTTCTGGCCCCGTAGTTCCTGCCCTGAGGTGCAGACACCAGGGGTCTCTGCGAAGGGTGTTGCAAGGGTTTCTGGGAATTCTGTGCGGCCCAGGTGGTCCTGTGTGGGCACTAACTGGTCTGTCTGTCCCCCCCCCCCCCCCCTCCCGCCCCCTCCCCCCCAACAGTCCCTGACAACTCGCTGAGTGTCAGCATCCCAGAGCCGTCCCCGCTGCGGGTCCTGCTGGGCACCTCGCTCACCATCCCCTGCTACTTCATGGACCCCGTGCACCCCGTGACCACGGCGCCCGCCACGGCCCCGCTCACCCCGAGAATCAAGTGGAGCCGCGTCTCCGAGGAGAAGGAGACGGTGCTGCTGGTGGCCACGGACGGGCAGGTGCGGGTGCCCGCCGCCTTCCAGGACAAGGTCTCGCTGCCCAACTACCCCGCCATCCCCAGCGACGCCACCCTGGAGCTCCAGAACCTGCGCTCCAACGACTCCGGGGTCTACCGCTGCGAGGTCACGCACGGCATCGAGGACGGCGAGGCCACCGTGGAGGTCCTGGTCAAAGGTGAGCGTCCTCCCGTCCGGCCCCCTCTGTCCCCACCCCCCCATCTCAAATCCCAGCTCCTCCCCCCTCTCCGCGCGTGTGCACCTCAGTCACCTGGGCTTTGCGGGGTATGTTTAAGTATGTTTTTCGTTGCTGTTTTTTCCCCCCCCTTTTTTTTTTATTAAATAATTATCTGTGTACGTATTTTACATTGCCCTCCCCCCATGCATACCCTCCCTCCCCAGAGTTTTGTGTCCATTGGTTGTACTTTTATGCATGTATACAAGTCCTTCGGTTGATCTCTTTTTTTTTTTTAATATATTTTATTGATTTTTTACAGAGAGGAAAGGAGAGAGAAAGAAAGTTAGAAATGTCGATGAAAGAGAAACATCGACCAGCTGCCTCTTGCACACCCCCTACTGGGAATGTGCCCGCAACCAAGGTACATGCCCCTGACTGGAACTGAACCTGGGACCCTTGAGTCCGCAGTCCGACGCTCTATCCACTGAGCCACACCGGATTCAGCTAAACAAGGAACTTTCTGATGATCCAGAATTATCGTAGGTGTTCGTAAGGGCGAGGTAGTGAGCTCCCCGTGGCGGGAGGCATCCCAGCAGAGGCAGAAAAACCACGCGTGGAAGGGGGAGTCAGGCATCAGCCGGAGGCTGGACCCGCTGACCGGGAGGCCCCTGGGACCCCAGCCGTCCTGCGGTGGGGGCCTCGGTTTGGGGGGGCAGCCGTGCCTGACCCGCTCCCCGGCCCCCCCACATCTGTCTCGCAGGCATCGTGTTCCACTACAGAGCCATCTCCACACGCTACACCCTGGACTTCGACAGGGCGCAGCGGGCCTGCCTGCAGAACAGCGCCATCATCGCCACGCCCGAGCAGCTGCAGGCCGCCTACGAGGACGGCTTCCACCAGTGCGACGCCGGCTGGCTGGCCGACCAGACCGTCCGGTGAGCCCCCGGCCGAGTGGGGTGGGCAGTGGGCCGGAACCGGGACCAGCCCCGAGCTGGTGCCCAAGCAACACCATGGCCAGCCGAGGGGGGGGGGGGTGCCTTGGCCAGCTCTGCAGGCAGCAGCCGAGGACCGATCCCAGGTCTGCGTGGAGGGAGTGGCTGCAAGCAGCTTAGCTCTGTAGGAACTTTCTCTCTAAGCAAATGGCATGCCTATCATCGTCTCTCCAGAACGTAAACTACACTGAGGGGCCAGATGATGATGATCTCTGAACGCATAACCATCTGGCCACGTGGTATCTATCCTATAGAATAAAAGGCTAATATGCAAATTGTCCCCTCGATCAGGAGTTCGACCAGCAGGTGGGCCAGCCAACTGCTCATGTCCCCTCCCCCTAGTCAGGCTGGCCGGACCCCACCCATGCACAAATTCATGCACGGGGCCTCTAATACACACACACACACACACACACACACACTGAGTGGCCAGATTATTATGCGTTCAGAGACCATCGTAATCAGTGTATTTGGCCCTGCTAGTATGGCTCAGTGTGGAGTGCTGACCCATGAACCAAGAGGTTACCGGCTCGATTGCTAGTCAGGACACATGCTGGCTTGATCCCCAAGAGGAGGCGTGCAGGAGGCAACCAATCGATAGTTCTATCCCTCTCCCTTCCTCTCTCTCTAAAATCATTAAAAATATTATTTTGCCCTGGCTGCTTTGGTTCATTGGATAGAGCATCAGCCTGCGGACTGAAGGGTCCTGGGTTCTATTCCGGTCAAGGGCGCATGCCTGGATTACGGGCTTGATCCCCAGTGTGGGGCATGCAGGAGGCAGCCGATCCATGATTCTTTCTCATCACTGATGTTTCTATCTCTCTCTCCCTCTCCCTTCCTCTCTGAACTCAATAAAAATACATTTTTTAAAAATAATAAAAACTTATTTTTAATTTAAAATACTTGCCCTCTGGCCTTTAACAGAAAAGCTTTGCAGGCCCCTGAGAGAATGTGTTTGGTGTCCATAAATATTCAGTCAAGGGCCGAATCTAATCACCAATAGCTATGAAAATATGTAGTTCATTAAAGCGGACAAGAAAACTATAAAAACAGCCCTAGCTGGTTTGGCTCAGTGGATAGAGCGTCAGCCTGCAGACTGAAGAGTCCCAGGTTTGATTCCAATCAAGGGCATGTAACTTGGTTGCAGGCACATCCCCAGTAGGGGGTGTGCAAGAGGCAGCTGATCGATGTTTCTAACTCTCTATCCCTCTCCCTTCTCTCTGTAAAAAAAAAAAAAAAAAAAAAAAAAAAATCAATAACATATATTTACGGGGAAAAAAACACCTGTAAAACAAATAGTCCACACATCCTCAGAAATGAAAGTTAAAATTAAAAATATATTTAAAAAATAAAATAAGCCGAAACCAGTTTAGCTCAGTGGATAGAGCTTTGGCCTGGGAACCGAAAGGTCCCAGGTTCGATTCCAGTCAAGGGCACGTACCTTGGTTGCGGGCACATCCCCAGTGGGGGGTGTGCAAGAGGCAGCTGATCGATGTTTCTCTCTCATCGACATTTCTAACTCTCTATCCTCTCAATTCCTCTCTGTGTAAAATCAATAAAATATATTTTAAAAAATAATAAAATAAAATAAAAATGTAAAACAGAGGACTTGCTGATGATCAGCATTATCGTAGGTATTCATACGTGCGAGGTAGTGAGCTCCCCGTGGCGGGAGGCATCCCAGCAGGGGCAGAAAGACCACGTGTGCAAAGGGGAGTCAGGCATCAGTCAGAGGCTGGACCCGCGGCCGTCAAACGCATCCATGAGTCACCGCTCCCTCCCTCTCAGGGAGGAGCCTACAAGGGCACCGCCCCCTCGGTCCCCCCTGACACCCGCCGCCTTGGGCTCCTGGCAGGTACCCCATCCACGTCCCTCGGGAAGGCTGCTACGGGGACAAGGACGAGTTTCCCGGGGTGAGGACCTACGGCATCCGCGACACCAACGAGACCTACGACGTGTACTGCTTCGCCGAGGAGATGGAGGGTGAGGACCCGCCCCTTCCCACCGCCCCCCTCCCTGTCCCCTCCACCCTGCTGGCACTCGGGACCTCACACCTCCCTCCACTTGACCCCCTCTGCCATGGCGGACAGAAGAAGGGGGAGGGCCGGGACCGGTGTGGCTCAGTGGATAGAGCGTCTGCCTGCAGACTGAAAGGTCCCGGGTTCGATTCCGGTCAAGGGCATGTACCTTGGCTGCGGGCACATCCCCGGTGAGGGGTGTGCAAGAGGCAGCTGATCGATGATTCTCTCTCATCGATGTTTCTAGCTCTCCCTCTCCCTTCCTCTCTGTAGAAAATCAATAATATATATAATTTAATTTCTTAAAAGAGTTAGGACCGCCGAAACCGGTTTTTGCTCAATGGATAGAGTGTCGGCCTGTGGACCGAAAGGTCCCGGGTTGGATTCCGGCCAAGGGCATGCACCTTGGTTGCGGGCACATCCCCGGTGGGGGGGGTGCAGGAGGCAGCTGGTCGATGTTTCTCTCATCATTGATGTTTCAAGCTCTCTAGCCCTCTCCCTTCCTCTCTGTAAAAAAAAAAAAAAAAAAATCAGTAAAATATATTTTTTTCAAATAAGAATGTTCTGGAGGCACCACATGGGCCTTCCTGGGGCCAGGGGCCAGGGGCCGGGGGCCGGGGGCTGGTCCTCACCCCGCCGCCGTGTCCTCCACAGGCGAGGTCTTCTACTCGACGTCTCCAGAGAAGTTCACCTTCCAGGAGGCCGCCAGCGAGTGCCGGCGGCTGGGCGCCCGGCTGGCCACCACGGGCCAGCTGTACCTGGCCTGGCAGGGCGGCATGGACATGTGCAGCGCCGGCTGGCTGGCCGACCGCAGCGTGCGCTACCCCATCTCCAAGGCCCGGCCCAACTGCGGGGGCAACCTGCTGGGCGTGAGGACCGTGTACCTGCACGCCAACCAGACGGGCTACCCCGACCCCTCGTCCCGCTACGACGCCATCTGCTACACAGGTGCGGCCACGGGGGCTGGTGGTCAGGGGAGGGGGGCGGGGAAGGGAGTCATGCCAGCAAAAGCGGGGCCCGGAGGGAGAGATCTGAGAACGGGGTGTTGCTTTGTACCCCTTCAAGGGGTCATGGGGCGCCTGAATCTCGTGTTTTAGCAGCACCCGTTTCCACAGGTTCCTAGGAGAGCTAAGGCACAGTGGCTTGAGGCCAGATTTCCCAGTTTCCCTTGACAGCAGTTTTACATTGTCCCCATTGGCTGGTCCGCAAGGTGCTCAGCCAATAGGTGAGCAGGCAGCTGGCATGGGCCCAGAAGAGAAGCTGGAGCTGTGAGGTGATTGGTTAATATCTGATGCTATGACAGCTCTGCGTTCTTTTGCAATCTGGAAACTGCATGGTCCATCCTATATAATGAAAGCGTAATAGGCTAAGTGTCCAACCATTCGGTCAACCGCTCGACCAGTCGCTATGACATGCACTGACCACCAGGGGGCAGATGCTCTGACTGGTAGATTAGCTTGCTGCTGGGGTCCGGCCATTCAGGACTGGGTCAAAGGGCCAGACACGCCCTGGAGCCCTCCTGCGGTCCCTCCCCAGCTGGCAACCAACCTCCCTCATCCCTCCAAAGCCGACTGGCCCCCATCGACCCAAATCGATTGGAACTGGGCAAGACAGCCTCAATCACCAGCCAGGCTGAGGGACCCTACCCGTGCACAAATTCATGCACCGGGCCTCTAGTCACGAGTAGCCACATAGACAAAGGACCCCAGAATAGGCTCAGCATGGTGCCAGGCACATAGTAGGTGCTTCCCTCCTTAGTAAGGTGCCAGACACTCCAGAAATCAATTTAGTGGTGCCTAGCTAGCAATGTAAAAGACCATAGATTTAAATTAAGTAACATCAGGTCATTATTCATAGAAAAGATAGGACTCTTTCAAAGGAAACGTTGGTGTTAGTCCCACATATATAGCTGTTCACAATGAGATACAGCCTGCTTACAATAAGAAATTTCACATCATCACGTGGCATCAAAATCTGTGGAAACACGACTGTGGAGAGACTCCTGCACATGTGCGCAAGGAAGCTTGGAAAAGCTATTCCTTGCAGCATTGACTATACTAATGGTTTATAATTTAGGAAATCTCCACCAATAGATGAATCGAAAATGGTCCTGGTGTACAATGTAATATTAAACTAGGTCTACGTCTATCAGCAAACATAAATCTCAGAAACAACCTGGAGTGAAAATGGAAAGTTGAAGGATATGCAAGTATGATGCCATCGATGGGAAGTTTAAAAACTCACAAGACAATGGTAGACATTGTTTTTTCACTATACTTAAATGTATATAAAAGAATAAAAAAGACTTGGAAGATAGGCTCTAAAAAAAAAAAAAAAATGTGCCAGACACACAGTAGGCGCTTTCCTCCCTTCACAAGGTGCCAGGCACACAGTACGCGCTATCCTCCCTCAGCAAGGTGCCAGGCACCCAGTAGGCGCTTCCCTCCCTCAGCAAGGTGCCAGGCACCCAGTAGGTGCTTTCTCCCTCAGCAAGGTGCCAGGCACCCAGTAGGTGCTTTCGTTCCTCAGCAAGGTGCCAGGCACACAGTAGGCGCTTTCCTTCCTCAGCAAGGTGCCAGGCACACAATAAGTGCTTTCTCCCTCAAAAAGGTGCCAGGCACCCAGTAGGCTCTTTCGTCCCTCAGCAAGGTGCCAGGCACCCAGTAGGTGCTTTCCTTCCTCAGCAAGGTGCCAGGCACACAGTAGGCGCTTTCCTTCCTCAGCAAGGTGCCAGGCACCCAGTAGGCGCTATCCTCCCTCAGGAAGGTGCCAGGCACCCAGTAGGCGCTCTCCTCCCCTAGCGGGAGAAGGAGGTGGCGCCTCTCTCAGCCCCGGGAGGGAGGCGCGGCTAACGCCTGCCTCTGTCCCCGCGCCCCAGGTGAAGACTTCATGGACATCCCCGAGAACTTCTTCGGGGCGGGCGGCGAGGAGGACATCACGGTGCAGACGGTGACCTGGCCCGACGTGGAGCTGCCTCTGCCCCGGAACATCACGGAGGGCGAGGCCCGGGGCAACGTGATCCTCACGGTGAGGCCCATCTTCGGCGGCGGCGGCGGCGGCGGCTCCCCCACCACGGCCCCCGAGCCCGGGGAGCCCCTCATCCAGGCCACCGCCCTCCCCGAGGCTGAGACCCGGACCGGGGCGGCCTCCAGGCCCTGGGCCTTCCCCGGAGCATCCACGCCGGGCCGGGGCCCCTTCACCGGCGAGGACCTGGTGGTGCAGGTGACGGCAGCCCCCGGAGAAGCCCAGGTGCCCGGGCAGCCACGACTGCCAGGGGGTAAGTGCCCACTCCTCAGGGGGGTGGGGGGGGGCGCCAGACGGAAAGAACTTGGCCTGGGGGTGTCTTCCCCTCAATGGGACCTGGGACACGCCTCTCAGTCCTCCTTATTTGTCAGATAAAGAAATAGGCCATCCGAAACCAGTGTTGTTCAGTGGATAGAGCGTCGGCCTGCAGACTGAAGGGTCCCCGGGTTCGATTCCGGGCAAGGGCGTGTGCCTTGGTTGCGGGCACATTCCTGGGAGGGGCTGTGCGGGAGGCAGCTGGTCGATGTTTCTCTCTCATCTATGTTTCTTGCTCTCTATTCCTCTCTGTAAAAAATCAATAAAATATACTAAGGAAGGGAGGGAGGAAGGGGGGGGGGGAATAAATAGGCCAGCCCTAGCCAGTTTGGCTCAGTGGATAGAGCATCGGCCTGTGGACTGAAAGGTCCCGGGTTCGATTCCGGTCAAGGGCACATGCCCGGCTTATGGGCTCAATCCCTAGGAGGGGACGTGCAGGAGGCAGCCGATCAATGATTTTTCTCTCCTCGTTGATGCTTCTCTCTCGCTCTTGCTCTCCCTTCCTCTCTGAAATCAATACAAATATTTTTTTTTTAATAAAAATAATATAGAATTTGAATTTCACTGTCCACATGGCTGGGGATAGGATCGGAAAGCGGGGTTGAAGGGAGGCCATTCCTCAAGAAGCCAGGATTTGCCGAAACCGGTGTGGCTCAGTGGATAGAGCGTCAGCCTGTGGACTGAAAGGTCCCGGGTTCGATTCCGGTCAAGGGCATGTACCTTGGTTGCAGGCACATCCCCAGAAGGAGGTGTGCAGGAGGCAGCTGATCGATGATTCTCTCTCATCGATGTTTCTAACTCTATTCCTCTCCTTTCCTCTCTTAAAAAATCAATAAAATATATTTTTTAAAAATAATAATAAAATCACGCCGAAACCGGTTTGGCTCAGTGGTAGAGCGTCGGCCTGCAGACTGAAAGGTCGCAGGTTCGATTCTGGTCAGGGGCATGTATGTTGGTTGCAGGCACATCCCCTGTAGGGGGTGTGCAAGAGGCAGCTGGTCGGTGTTTCTCTCTCATCGACGTTTCTAGCTCTCTATCTCTCTCCCTTTCTCTCTGTAAAAAATCAATAAAAATATTTTTTAAAAAATAATAATAATAATAAAATCAAATAAAATAGAATTTGAATTTCATTGTCCACATGGCCTGGGGTGAAGGGAGGCCCTTCCTGAAGAATCAAGGGCTCCCTCCACGCCCACAAAGCCTTAAGATCTGGGCAGTGTGGGCACCGGCGTCATGGCGCCCGGCCCACACCCTGAGCTCACTCTGTCTCTCCTTCTCTCCTCTCTCCCAGGGGTCGTGTTCCACTACCGGCCCGGCTCCGCCCGCTACGCGCTGACCTTCGCGGAGGCCCAGCAGGCCTGCCTGCGCACCGGTGCCGTCATCGCCTCGCCCGAGCAGCTGCAGGCCGCCTACGAAGCCGGCTACGAGCAGTGCGACGCCGGCTGGCTGCAGGACCAGACCGTGAGGTGAGTGAGGGGCCGGCCGGGCCCCCTCCCAGCCCCTACCCACCCTGGAGAGGTCAGGCGAGGGCAGCCGAGCTGGCCCTGCACCCAGGGCAGAGAGGGCACCGTCTCCCTTCATTGCTCCCCCCAGAACGGAAGCATATTCAGAGAGGAGGGCATTCAGTCCCAGGTCAGCAGCAGCCTGCGGACGGAAGGGTCCTGGGTTCGATTCCAGCCAAGGGCACATGGCCGGGTTGCGGGCTGGATCCCCAGGAAGGGGGCGTGCAGGAGGCAGCCGATCAGCGATTCCCTCTCATCATCGATGTTTCCATGTCTCTCTCTCCCTCAGCCTTCCTCTCTGAAATCAGTAAAAATATGGGTGGGTTTTTTGGGTTTTTTTTAAGTCAGTGGTCGGCAAACCGCGGCTTGCGAGCCACAATCGGCTCTTTGGCCCCTTGGGTGTGGCTCTTCCACAAAATACCACGGCCTGGGCGAGTCTATTTGGAAGACGTGGCGTTAGAAGGAGTTTCAGTTTAAACATGCGGCTCTCCAAAGAAATTTCGATTGTTGTCCTGTTGATATTTGGCTCTGTGGACGAAGGAGTTTGCCGACCACTGTCCTAGGTCATTTCTCCCAGTCCCTTCCCACTTGACCCAATGCTATTCCATGCAGTGGGGGCTCCCTTCTGAAGCCAGTAATTCCCCGGGGGGGGGGGGGTCCCCCAAACCTTGTGCCTAGTATAAGATGCTTCTCCCTGGTTTGAATGCCTGCCCGAGTCCCCCACAGCTTGGCCTGCCAGCCTGACCCACAGCATCCCCCAACTCGGAGCAGGCCCTCATCTCCCCTCCCCTCCTCCTTCGCAGGTACCCCATTGTGAGCCCGAGGACCCCGTGCGTGGGCGACAAGGACAGCAGCCCCGGGGTCCGGACCTACGGCGTGCGCCCCCCGTCGGAAACCTATGATGTCTACTGTTACGTGGGCAAGCTCGAAGGTACAGGGCTCCTTCTCACCGTGCGGGCCCCGGGGGGGCAGAGGGCTGTTGGGGAGACACACACACACAAAAAGGAGGGTGAAATCCATCATCCACCCACCCCCACATTTGTCTGAGGATAAATAAATCCATATTTTTTTTCTTTTTTAAAAATAGATTTTATTGATTTTGTACAGAGAGGAAGGGAAAGAGAGAGTTAGAAACATCGATGAGAGAGAGAGTCATCGATCAGCTGCCTCTTGCACACCCTTACTGGGGATATGCCCGCAACCAAGGTACATGCCCTTGACCGGAATCAAACCCGGGGCCCTTCAGTCCCCAAGCCGACGCTCTATCCACTGAGCCACACCGGTCCCGGCTACATCCATTATTTTTTAAATATCGACCTACCATCCGCCTCCTGGAGAGTCCCAGTGCCCATGAGCAAAGCAAAGACTCTGAGAAGTCCTGCAGTGTTAAAAATAAAATAAAATAAAAGCCCTAGCCGGTGTGGCTCAGTGGATAGAGCATCAGTCTGCGGACTGAAAGGTCCCAGGTTCGATTCCGGTCAAGGGCATGTACCTTGGTTGCGGGCACATCCCCAGTAGGAGGTGTGCAGGAGGCAGCTGATCCATGTTTCTCTCTCATCGATGTTTCTAGCTCTCTATCCCTCTCTCTTCCTGTCTGTAAAAAAAAATAAATAAAATATATTTAAAAAATAAAAAAATAAAAATAAAGCCCTAGCTGGTTTGGCCCAGTGGATAAAGCGTTGGTCTGCAGACTGAAGGGTCCCAGGTTCGATTCCGGTCAAGGGCATGTACCTTGGTTGCGGGCACATCCCCAGTAGGAGGTGTGCAGGAGGCAGCTGGTCGATGTTTCTCTCTCATCGATGTTTCTCACCCTCTCTCTCTCTCTCTTCCTCTCTGTAAAAAATCAATAAAATATATATATTTATTTTAAATTTGGACTGGACAGGGTGTTTAACCGGTGCCTGCCGTGGCAGGTGTCCCATCCCTGCTGGGGGGCGGGTGTGGGCGGAGGGAGCCCCGGCCGTGGGCGTGAGGGTCACCCCTGCCCCCTGCCTCTGCCCCCCAGGAGAGGTGTTCTTCGTCACACGCCCGCAGCAGTTCACCTTCCAGGAGGCCGTGGACTTCTGCCAGTCCCACAACGCCTCGCTCGCCTCCACCGGCCAGCTCTACGCCGCCTGGAGCTTCGGCCTGGACAAGTGCTACGCCGGCTGGCTGGCCGACCGCAGCCTCCGCTACCCCATCGTCACCCCCCGGCCGGCCTGCGGAGGGGACAAGCCCGGCGTGAGGACCGTCTACCTCTACCCCAACCAGACGGGCCTCCTGGACCCGCTGTCCCGGCACCACGCCTTCTGCTTCCGAGGTGGGTGTTCGCGCCTCTCCTCCGACCCCCACTTCTGCCTGGGGGAGTGGGGTGACTCCCGGGGCTGAGGCCTGCTGGCCCCCGTCCACTCTCCCTGGCCATCAGAACAAGAAAGAAAATGTCGCCAAGACCGGTGTGGCTCAGTGGATAAGAGCATAGGCCTGCGGACTGAAAGGTCCCGGGTTCGATTCCGGTCAAGGCCATCGACATTGGTTGCGGGCACATCCTCAGTAGGGGGTGTGCAAGAGGCTGCTGATCGATGACTCTCTCTCATCGATGTTTCTAACTCTCTTATCCCTCTTCCTTCTTCTCTGTAAAAAAAATCAATAAAATATTTTATTTTTTTAAAGAAGGGCCAGCAGGGGGGAAATGGGGGAAGGGGAAGAAGCCTGCTAAAAAGGAACCCTCACCACCACATTCCCTCTAGGTGTCTCACCTGCGCCCTCTCCAGGAGAAGATCGGGGTGGCACGCCCACACCGCCCTCAGACGTGGAGGACTGGGTCACCCCCCAAGTGGGGCCCGGCGTGGCTGCTGTCCCCTCTGGGGAGGAGACCACCGCCGTCCCAGACTTCACCGCGGAGCCAGAAAACCGCACGGAACAGGAGCGAGCCTACACCCCAGCGGGCACCTTGCCGCTGCCAGGTCAGTGGAATCACATGGCCCGACACTCCTCTAGTTGGTGGGCTGCCTCCCCTTCCTCAAGGAGGATGGGTTCCGGTGAAGGATTCTCACACTCAGTGGAGCAGCAGCCTCATTGGGTGGGGCTGGGCCCGCCCCCGACTCTGATTGGCTGGGGCTGGGGGCTGAGAATTGGCTTTTCTATCAAGCTGTCCCGGCACGCTGGTGCTTCTGGTCCAGGGACCACACTTTGAGAACCATGGGTTTAAATATACATTTTTATTGATTTTGTACAGAGAGGAAGGGAGAGGGATAGAGAGCTAGAAACATCGACGAGAGAGAACCATCCATCAGCTGCCTCTTGCACACCCCCGCACTGGGGATGTGCCCACAACCAAGGTACATGCCCTTGACGGGAACCGAACCCGGGACCCTTCAGTCCGTAAGCCGACGCTCTATCCACTGAGCCAAACCGGTTTCAGCGAGAACCATGGGTTTCGATACGATGAGATGATGACGTGCAAGTACGTGAGGGTGACCTTGATTGCCCTCCGTGAGAGCCAGGCCCCCACACCCAGTGGGTTGTATGGATGACACCCCCTAAAATCTCACAAAGTAGCCAAAACCGGTTTGGCTCAGTGGATAGAGCATCGCCCTGCGGACTGAAAGGTCCCAGGTTCGATTCCGGTCAAGGGCATGTGCCTTGGTTGTGGGCACATCCCCGGTAGGGGGTGTGCAAGAGGCAGCTGATCGATGATTCTCTCTCATCGATGTTTCTAACTCTCTATCCCGCTCTCCTCCTCTCTGTAAAAAATCATATAATCAATAAAATATATTAGAAAACAAAATGGGCAGAGTTACTAAGTCCCCACCTTGTCTTTCTTTCCCTCGTCCTCCAGGGGTCCCTCCTACATGGCCTTCCGGGAGCACAGCCCCAGAGGAGAGCACAGAAGGCCCTTCAGCCACAGAAGTGCCCTTGGCCTCGGAGGAGCCATCCCCCTCAGAAATGCCATCCCCCTCCCAGGAGCCATCCCCCGCGGAGACACCATCCCCCTCGGAGGAGCCGTTCCCCTCCCAGGAGCCGCTGTTCACACCTTCACCCCCGGTGCCCAGCGGCATGGAGGTTCCGGGCTCCGGGGAGCCATCTGGGGCCCCGGAAGCCAGTGGCGACTTCTCAGCCAGTGGAGAAGCCTCTGGACACCCGGGCGCCACGGGGCAGCCCCCGGAAGACCTCGACTCCCGTGGAGTCACCTTGCCTGCGGGCTCGGGCCTGCCAGTGGGGAGTGGGCTGGCCTCGGGGGATGAAGATGGAGTCACGTGGTCCAACACGTCTCAAGTGGGCCGGCTGCCTCCTGGGGGTGAGGGTCTGGAAGGCTCTGCCTCCGGAGGAGAGGACCTGGGTGGACTTCCTTCTGGAGATGATACTCTTCCAGAAACTACTGCCTCTGGAGTAGACCTGGGTGGACTTCCTTCTGGAGGTGAGACTCTTCCAGAAACTACTGCCTCTGGAGTAGACCTGGGTGGACTTCCTTCCGGAGGTGAGACTCTTCCAGAAACTACTGCCTCTGGAGTAGACCTGGGTGGACTTCCTTCTGGAGGTGAGACTCATCCAGAAACTACTGCTTCTGGAGTAGAGGATCTTGGTGGACTTCCTTCTGGAGGTGAGACTCTTCCAGAAAGTTCTACCTCTGGAGTAGACCTGGGTGGACTTCCTTCTGGAGGTGAGACTCTTCCGGAAAGTTCTACCTCTGGAGTAGACCTGGGTGGACTTCCTTCTGGAGGTGAGACTTTTCCAGAAACTACTGCTTCTGGAGTAGAGGATCTTGGTGGACTTCCTTCTGGAGGTGAGACTCTTCCAGAAAGTTCTACCTCTGGAGTAGACCTGGGTGGACTTCCTTCTGGAGGTGAGACTTTTCCAGAAACTACTGCTTCTGGAGTAGAGGATCTTGGTGGACTTCCTTCTGGAGGTGAGACTCTTCCAGAAAGTTCTACCTCTGGAGTAGACCTGGGTGGACTTCCTTCTGGAGGTGAGACTTTTCCAGAAACTACTGCTTCTGGAGTAGAGGATCTTGGTGGACTTCCTTCTGGAGGTGAGACTTTTCCAGAAACTACTGCTTCTGGAGTAGACCTGAGTGGACTTCCTTCTGGAGGTGAGACTCTTCCGGAAAGTTCTACCTCTGGAGGAGAGGACCTCAGTGGACTTCCTAGTGGAGGTGAGGGTCATCTGGAGACGTCTACCTCTGGTGTAGACCTGGGTGGACTTCCTTCTGGAGGTGAGACTTTTCCAGAAAGTTCTACCTCTGGAGTCGACCTGAGTGGACTTCCTTCTGGAGGTGAAACTCTTCCAGAAAGTTCTACCTCTGGAGTCGACCTGAGTGGACTTCCTTCTGGAGGTGAGACTCTTCTAGAAGGTTCTGCCTCTGGAGGAGAGGACCTCAGTGGATTTCCTAGTGGAGGTGAGACTCATCTGGAATCGTCTACCTCTGGAGTAGACCTGGGCGGACTTCCGTCCGGAAGAGACGGCCTGGGGCCCTCTGCTTCCGGAGCAGGGGAGGACCTCGGTGGCCTTCCTTCTGGAGGAGAGGGCCTGGAGGCCTCTGCCTCTGGCCCCGAGGACCTCAGCGGGAGCGACGGCTGGACGGGGTCCGCTTCCGGAGACGTGGACCTGGGCGGCAGACCTGGAACCCTCGGGAGCGGGCAGGCCCCGGACGCCAGCGGCCGTCCCTCGGGATTCGGCGGGGAGTATTCCGGCGTGGACCTCGGAAGCGGCCCCTCCTCCGGCGCCCCGGACGCCAGCGGGCTCCCGACCGTCTCCCTGGTGGACACCACGCTGGTGGAGGTGGTCACAGCCCCCACCGCGGGGGGGCAGGAAGGCCGGGGCACCATCGGCGTGAGCGGCGCCGGCGAGGTATCCGGGCTGCCCTCCGGCGAGCTGGACATCAGCGGGGATGCCAGCGGGCAGCCCTCGGGATCTCCCGACATCAGCGGGGAAACCTCCGGATCCTTTGGGGCCAGTGGCCAGCCCTCCGGATTCCCCGACGTCAGCGGGGCGACATCTGGGCTCTTTGAGCTCAGCGGGCAGCCCTCGGGCCCTCCGGAGGAAGCATCCGGAATGGCCGAGCTCAGCGGGCAGCCCTCGGGGCAGCCGGGCGCCAGCGGAGACGCTTCCGGGGACCTCGGCAGCGGCCGCCCCTTTGGCATCGTCGACCTGAGCGGGGAGCCGTCCGGGGTCCCCGAGCTCAGCGGGCAGCCGTCAGCGGCGGCGGGGTGGCCATGGTTCAGCGGGACCCCCTCGGGGATCCCCGACCCGGGTTCCAGTGCGGCGAGCGGCAGCGGCGACGCCTCTGGGGTCACGTTCGTGGACGGCCCTCTGGTGGAGGTGACCCCGACCCCGTTTGGGGGAGCAGAAGAAGGTTTGGGGTCCGTGGAGCTCAGCGGCCTCCCTTGGGGGGAGACGGACCTCTCGGGCACGGCGGACGCCAGCGGGCAGCCGTCCGGGGCCCCGGACGCCAGCGGGTGGACGCCGGTGCCTCCGGACCTCAGCGGCCTGCCCAGCGGGGAAGCCTCGGGAGCCGAGGCGGGGAGCGGCGGCCTGCCCTCAGGAGCCTACGGCGGTGGCAGCAGCAGCGGCTTCCCCACCGTCTCGCTCGTGGACAGGACCCTGGTGGAATCCGTCACCCGGCCTCCGACGGCCCAGGAGGCGGGAGAGGGGCCTTCGGGCATCCTGGAACTCAGCGGCGCCCATTCCGGAGACCACTCGGGACTGCCCGGGCTCGGCGGGCTGCCGTCCGGGCTGGGCGAGCCCTCGAGCACCCCCTATTCCAGCGGGGACTTCTCGGGCGCCCCGGAAATCAGCGGGGAGTCTTCGGCCACCGCGGCCGTCCCCGGCGGGGAGGCCTCGGGGCTGCCCGACGTCACTTTGATCACGTCTGATTTCGTCGAGGCGGTCACCGCGCCGACGGTCTCCCAGGAACTGGGCCAGGGACCCCCTCTGACACACGCCCCCCAGATTTTCGAGGCCAGCGGAGACGCCTCCACCTCGGGGGACCTCAGCGGAGCCACGCCTGGCTTCCCCGGGTCGGGGGCCGAAGCGTCGTCGTCGTCGTCGTCGGTCCCAGAATCCGGCAGCGAGACGCCTGCTTATACGGAGGCCGGGATGGGGGCGTCTGCGGCTCCGGGGACCCCCGACGTGGGGGAAACCACCCCCGCCGTCCACGAAGCGGACCTGGAGGGAGTCTCAGGCCTCGGGGTGAGCAGCAGCCCCTTCCCCTCCCAGGAAGGGCCCACGGAGGGCTCCGCCCCGTCGGGGATGAGCGGAGAGCCGACCGCGGCCTACGAGGCGGCCACAGAGACCTCGGGCTGGCCTCCCGCCGCTCCCCTGGCTTCCGGGGACGGGACGGAAATCAGCGGAGACCTTGCGTCCGGGCAGGCCTCGGGGCTGGGCGTTGTCATTGGGACCAGCGCCCCGGAGTTCGAATGGACCCAGCAGACCCAGCGCCCTGCAGAGGCGCACCTCGAAACGGAGTCCTCGAGCCCCTGGCACTCGGGAGAAGAGGCCCAAACAGCCCAGACAGCCGTCTTCCCGACGGACGCTTTTTCCATCCCAGCCTCGGCAGAAGGGACGGAAGGATCGGAGGCAACCACCACAGGTATGGCCGGCCGGCATCTTTTATCCCTTCGGAGGGCAGCAGAGTAGGAGGCGGTGTAGATTCGAGGTTCTGAGCACGGCTCCCCCGGGGATGCGCTGTGCAGCCTCAAGCAAGTTTCTTAACCTCTCTGATCCTCACCGGTGACATGGGAATAGCACCAGGGGAGATTAAAGAGCACGTAACTATATATATATATATATAAAACAAGCGCTGAGCATCAGAGTGGGCACCCAGGACACACTCATGGAGATTTAGTGATTGTGCCCTAGCCCAGTGGTCGGCAAACGCATTAGTCCACAGCGCCAAATATCAACAGCACGACGATTGACATTTCTTTGGAGAGCCGAAAACCGATTTCTGCACATGGGCCACGAAGTTTCAATCACACACTGTATGTGCGCGCCCGTGGTGTTTTGTGGAAGAGCTACACGCAAGGGGCCAAAGAGCCGCAGGTGGCTCGAGAGCCATGGTTTGCCAACTCCTGCCCTAGCCTATTTGGCTCAGTGGATAGAGCATCGGCCTGCGGGCTGAAGGGTCCCGGGCTCCATTCTAGTCAAGGGCATGGGCCTTGGTTGCGGGCTTGATCTCTCGCCCTGGTTGGAGCATGTGCAGAAGCAACCAATGGGTGTGTGTCTCTCTCACATTGGTGTTTCTCTCTCTGTGTCTCTCTCTTCCACTCTCTCTAAAAATCCATGGTGAAATATCCTCAGGTGAGGACGAACAACAGCGAAAGATTAGAGATTTTTTTTAATATATTTTATTGATTTTTTTACAGAGAGGAAGGGAGAGGGATAGAGAGTTAGAAACATCGATGAGAGAGAAACATCGACCAGCTGCCTCTTGCACACCCCCTACCGGGGATGTGCCCGCAACCAATGTACATGCCCTTGACCGGAATCGAACCTGGGACCTTTCAGTCCCTAGACCGACACTCTACCACTGAGCCAAACCGGTTTCACCAAGATTAGTGATTGTTATCATTAAGTTACATCTTGAGAACGTTTATGAGTGAACCTGATGACCTATCGTGGGCGCAGAGAGAAGGAATGATGTCTGGATCGAGCGTGTCTATACAGCTCAGACTACCTGCGGCTAGAAGTCACGTCTTCACCTGGGGCATCTGTTCTGCATGGCAGTTTAGGACAGTGGTCGGCAAACTGCAGCTCCTGGGCCCCTTGAGTGTGGCTCTTCCACAAAATACCACGGCCTGGGCGAGTCTATGTTGAAGAAGTGGCGTTAGAAGACGTTTCAGTTTTAAAAATGTGGCTCTTGAAAGAAATTTCAATCGTTGTGTTTGAGTTGTTTTTAGCTGGCTGTTGATAGCTGGCTCTGTGGACGAATGAGTTTGCCCACCACTGGTTAGGAGAGAAAAGTCAAGCTAAGGAATTAAACGGAGAAGCGGTTCGTGTAACCAATGGTGATTTGAGGAACGGAATGCGAAATATGCTTGGATTGTTTTTTTCCTTTTTAAGTATATTTTTATTGATGTCAGAGAGGAAGGAGAGGGAGAGAGAGAGAGAAACATCAATGATAGAGAATCATTGATTGGCTGCCTCATGCATGCCTCACACTGGGGATGGAGCCTGCAACCTGGGCATGTGCCCTTGACAAGAATCGAACCCAGGACCCTTCAGTCCTCAGTCCAATGCTCTATCCGCTGAGCCACACCAGCTACGACATGGGCTTGAATTTTGAAGGTAAAATTTGAGACTTCCAAGAAATGCTGAATGAGGGTGTGTATTGGGGATAGCCAGTCATGCCCCATGGCCCCTGTGGGGACACTCGGAAGGGCTGTTGCCTGACTGGCAATCAGGGCCCTTTGGGGCCAATAAGGTCCAGCCGGCCGGGGCAGGGAGGGGGCCACGGGAGGTTGACCAGCTGCATGAGGTTGGCTATGGGAGCACACTAACCACCAGGGGGAAGCTCCTGCTTTGAGCTCCTGGTGGTCAGCAGATATCATAGCAACCGGTCATCTGGTTGACTGGTTGTAATGGTTGCTTAGTCTTTTATATATATAGATATATATATTTTTTTTAATTGATTCCAGAGAGGAAGAGAGAGGGGGGAAAAAAGAATAAAGAAGAGAGAGAGAGAAACATCAGTGATGAGAGAGAATCATGGATCAGCTGCCTCCTGCACGCCCCCTCCTAGGGATGGATGGAGCACACAACTTGGGCCTGTGCTCTGAACAGGAATCAAACCGTGACCTCCTGGTTCATAGGTCAGTGCTCAGCCCCAGAGCCACACTAGTGGGCTCAAATCATGCCTTTTAAAAAGCCTTTCTCCCCAGACACCTTTTTAGTAGCGTGGTCACCTCGTCTGTTCCCTTACCCCTGGCGCACTGATGTTGGGGGAATAATGTGTGTGAGACGTAGCACCTGGCTCAGGGAAGATTCCTGAGAGATCTTGGGCCCCTCTCTCTCCTCTCTTCCTTCATGTAATCTGCACGTTGCCCTTGACGGGAATCGAACCCAGGTCCTTCCTGTCCCCTCTCCCCCGGCCCCACCGCCCCCACCTTGTCTGGGGTCCCCCCACTCTGTGCTCACTCACAGCGGGGCTGGCCCCACTTCCTCTCATGGTTCCAGAAGATGAGCAATGTCTAAGGTGACCAGATAGTCCAGGAGTTGGCGGGACAGTCCTGATTGATTACTAACATTTTTTTTTTTAAGTCCCGGTTTTTGGAAATATTGGAAACATTGGAAAGATTCTTTCCAAAAATCGGGACTTTTTTAAAAGAAATTGTTAGAAATCAGGACTGTCCCGCCAACACCTGGACGATCTGGTCACCTTAGTAATGCCCTAGCTGCCCTTCACGGAAAGAGATGGCCATACCAGGCCAGGGTAGCCATAAAGACACCCCACCGGGGCCATCAGCCCTCTTCCTACAGCCGGAGATGCTGATCACAGCCTCCCCGAACCCCCTTCCCCACCCCTGAGACACCCACAGGCTGTCTGTGCTCCAGGACGGTCGCCCTTCCTTCCCGCCTGATGTGTGAACCCAGGGCCCTGCAGAACAGAAGGCAAAACAAAACTGCTCCCTGAAACCTCAGGCCACATGGGATTGGGGGAGTGGGGGGGGCTGATAGAAGCCGCTGGAACACCTGGAAGCCACCTGGCCGGGCCTCCCCGGGGGCCTCTGCCTCTCCCGCCCTCTCCTCCGTGGTCTGGGCACCGGCCCCGGGGCTGACATCTGCCTCTTGTGCCCACAGGCCAGCCCCTGCCTAAGGTGACCAGACGCCCCGCTTTTGGCGGTACAGCCCCGATTTTTAACAATGTGTCCCGCGTTGAAAATCGGGATTGTCCCGCCAAAAGCGGGACCTCTGGTCACCTTACCCCTGCCCCCCCCCCCCACCTCGCCCCGCTCTGTACAACTGCTTTAGCGCCTCCATTTGCTTATTGCCCCCCTCACCCAGTGCTCCCCACCTCCCGCAATGACTCCGCTAGTGGACAGAGAAGAGCAGCCGTCCCCAGCTTCCGCCGGCCCACCAGCCTGACCTATTGCTGCTCCTGCTGCTGCTGGGAACCCAAGTGCATGCTGGGATTGCAGCCATGCATTTGGGTTTTGCTTGGGACAGTTCCGGACCCGGAACTGTCGGTGCCCCTAGTCGCCTAGTCCGCGGTGTGTGCACTCCGCCCGCCCCCGAGAGGAAGTGAAGAAGTTCCGGCAAGAGAGAGGCGCCTGCAGACCCAACCCTCCTCCAGGCGCCACCCACGAGACAACAGCGGGGAGAAGGGTCCGGAAGGAAATGCGTCTGCCTTCTAGTCGGAGGACTGGCTCTCGGGAGAGGCAAGAACTAATGCCTGCTCACCTGGAGGCCCGCCCTTAGACATGTGGGATCCTGATGATTGTATGCGCAGAGATTCACAGACCAAGGCTGAGCCACGTAGCGGAATCCCCCGTGAGCCCGAGGGACCCATTGCATTGATCTCCTGGGAAGAGGAGGTCCCCGGTTCCATGCAATTTGTTCCCAGGAAAGACCCAGCGGGAGCCCCTGGAGTGCCAACACCAAGGTCCCCGGCTTTTCAGAAAGAGCCAGAAAGACGAGATTTAGGAGAAGATGCGGGGCCTGCCTTGGCCAGTGGAGAAAAACTCGAGGCAGAAGCCAACGGCGTACGGATTCAAGTCCTGCAAAGAAGTTGGACCGGAAGAACAGAGGGGAAGAGAGGGCCTGGGAAGGAGCGGCTGATGGGGACCTGCCTGTGTCCCACGTGGCCACCTACTCAGTGCCTCGCCCGCCGGCTTCAAACATGGGTCCCCCACCAGCCAGGAGGGAGCCCCTCTGAAGTTGTGAGTCACTGGAGCCCTTAAACACAAACAAGATTGCCTGGGGCAGTGGTCGGCAAACTCATGGGTCCACAGAGCTAAATACCAACAGGACAACGATTGACATGTCTTTGGAGAGCCACGTTTTTTAAACTTCAACTCCTTCTAACGCCACTTCTTCACCATACACAGGCCCAGGCCGTGGTATTTTGTGGAAGAGCCACACGCAAGGGGCCAAAGAGCCGCATGTGGCTCGTGAGCCATGGTTTGCCAACCACGGACCTGGGGGGAGGTTGAGCTGGGTTTCTGGCTCTCTTCCCCCACCCCCCAAGCTTCATTTTCAGAAGATGCTCCAATATCTTACTTACGAAAGACAAGAGCGTTGTCTGCAGCCCACCGATGTCCGTGGCCCCCATGCACACATCCCATCCTGCCACGTTCTCGTGGGTTCTCAAGCTGCAGACCTCTCATTCACTCCAGCATCGCACGACCCTCCCTCCTTCCCTCCCCTGATCCACAACGACAGAGGAAGCAAAGGAAAAGGAAGACTTAGCCACGCTTCAAGAACTAGACTTCCGTGTCCTTGCTCAACGCCAGATCAGACCCCTGGCTCCTTTTTTTTTTTATTATTGATTTCAGAGAAGGGAGAAGGAGTGAGAGAGAAACATCAATGGTGAGAGCGAATCGTGGACCGGCTGCCTCCTGCACACCGCCTACTGTGGATCGAGCCTGCAAGCCAGGCCTGTGCCCTGACTGGGAATCGAACCGTGACCTCCTGGTTCCTAGGCCGACGTTCAACCGCTGAGCCACGCCGGCCGGGCCCCACGGCTTCTTGAAAGAGTCTCAAGAGAAGGCATCCGGGAGGTACTCGGCACTCGGTCACCCCAAGCGGCATTTGGCTTTGGAAGCGCCGACTCTGTCAAATGCTTGGAAATCAGCTCCACGCTCAGCTTGTCAATCAAGAATCACGTGCATCCAGGGGACTCCTTGCTGGACCTTTGTCTCAGATTCCAGATGGCAGTGGCGGCGACAGCAGCAGCAGCAGCAGCAGCAGCAAACGGTTCTCAGGAAACCCAGCCACCCCTCCCAGGGCTCAGGAGAGCCGCAGGGCCAGCCACCGGGAGAGAGGCGCGGCCGGCGTGGCCGGCGGGCGTCCTAACGGTGGCCCTTGGTTTCTTGCAGACATTGATGAGTGCCTCTCAAGCCCTTGTGTGAATGGAGCCACCTGCCTGGACGCCATCGACTCTTTCACATGCTTATGCCTTCCCAGCTACCGAGGGGACCTGTGTGAGATCGGTACGGCCGGCCGTCTCGGCTTCAGCTAATGTCGCTAACTGCTGCACCTCCCGTCCTCCTCCTCCTCCTCCTCCCTCACCCTCCCCTGCTAACCCACAGGCTCCGGACCCTGGCCGGGGGCCCCCGCCCCCCCGCGGTCCATCCAGAGAGCTGGTGCGGGAGCCACAGCGAGAAGTCCACCCCGACTCACCCCCACTCTTTCTGTTCCTGTCCCACCTCCGGGGCAGCGGCTGATTATGCAGGAAAGATATGCGAGCCAGGCCAGCCTGCGCTTTGTTTTGTTTTTTATATATTTTATTGATTTTTTTACGGAGAGGCAGGTAGAGAGGAAGAGAGAATTAGAAACATCGATGAGAGAGAGACATCGATCAGCTGCCTCCTGCACACCCCCCACTGCGGATGTGCCTGCAACCAAGGTCCATGCCCTTGACCGGAATTGAACCCAGGACCTTTCAGTCTGCAGGCCGATGCTCTATCCACTGAGCCAAACTGGTTTCGGCGAGCCTGTACTTTGGAATGTGGGGCTCTAGGTGGCCTTTATTTTAATATATTTTTATTGATTTCAGAGAGGAAGAGAGAGGGAGAGAGAGAAACATCAACGGTGAGAGAGACTCATGGATCAGCTGCCTCCTGCACGCCCCACGTTGGGGATCGAGCCCACAATCTGGGCCTGTGCCCTGGCTGGGAATCGAACCGTGACCTCCTGGTTCCTAGGTCCACGCTCAAACACTGAGCCACGCTGGCTGGGCTCCGGGAGACCTTTAAAACACTAACTTTAACTTATCCCTCGCTGATCTGGCTCAGTGGATAGAGCATCAGCCTGCATCCGGACTGAAGGGTCCCGGGTTCCATCCCAGTCAAGGGCACAGGCCCGGGTTGCAGGCTCCATCCCCAGTAGGGGGCGTGCAGGAGGCAGCCGGTCCATGATCCTCTCTCACCATGGATGTTTCTCTCCCTCTCCCTTCCTCTCTGAAAGCAACAAAAACATGTTTTAAATAAATGCTAAGTCAATAACACGCTAACCTCTCACGGAAGATGCCACGGTCAAGGCCGCTGCACGCCTCAGGCTAAGCGGACAGAGCCCGCTCCGCCCGCTGCCCTTGACGGAAGCCGTGGGCGGGAGTAACGGATTCTCGCTCAGATTGACAGCCAGGGGTCTTCCTCGCGTGGGCATGCGCCTGAGCCTGTGTCTGCTGCCTTGTGGCCCGTGGGACCTCGGGGGGGCCTCGCAGGCCAAGCTGCCTTCCCCTTTGCCTGCCTGAGAGCTCCCGCGTCACCCACGTGCCCCGGTGATGCCTGAGCTGTGGTCACCCTCTCCTCTTCACCATGGTAACCGATGCCATGACGATGCCACTCGGGCCCACACTTCCTCCTTCCCTCCCCTGCACCAGGCAGAGGGCTGGCTAGGGAGAACAGAGCCTCGGTGCGAGGGGCGAGGGCTGAGGTTCATCTCTTTGGGCCTTGCCTGACCCTCTGCTTCTGTGGCCAGGCTGAGTGCCAGGCCCAGCTCTCCCCGACCCTCACCAGGGCCCCCCATCCTGGCTCTCAGGGCCATCCCGGCTCAGCTTGGGGGAGATGAGAATGATGGTTGCTAGCAGCAATGGCCCACTGAGAACTGGAATTGTTCATGGGCTTAAAACCATTTTTTTTTTCATGTATGTTTATGGATTTCAGAGAGGGAGGGAGAGGGAGAGAGAAGCATCCATGATGAGAGGGAATCACGGATCGGCTGCCTCCTGCACTCCCTCTCCTGGGGATCGAGCCTGCAACTCAGGCACGTGCCCTTGACCGGGAATGGAACCCCGACCTCCTGGTTCATTAGGTTGACGCTAACCACTGAGCAACACCGGCTGTGCAAAAGTCACGTTTAATGCACGCTCAGGCTGGACTTGCCAGAAACCTGCAGAGAGCAGCGGGAGCTCCTGGGCAGTCTGCCTTGGGCGCTGAGCAGTGTGGGAGGCAGTAGGATCCCATGTTTCCTCGGAGGCATCGCCAAGTTCGGGGAGCGTAACAGGTCTGCCAGGAAAGGCCGGAGTCTCCTCCCTGCAGCCTCCCATCCTCCCCTTTCCCCCCCAAGTGCCCAAGACATCGGTGCTTGAGGTCCCGGCTGGGGATGGGGGAAGGGAGGTATAAGGGTTTTCTCCACAGGATGCCCACCTATTTGTCAGCGGAGAGAAGGATCTGGAAGGTCCCTACGGACCACAGCTCTCGGGGGCCAGGCTGGGAGAGGGGGGTGTCTTGTGGGCGTGGAGGCGGGGCCCTCACAGGCCATTGGATGGAGCCAGAGCCGCCCGGCGGGGCCCTGGGTGCAGGCACCCAGCTAAGCGGGACCGTGTTCCCTGTCCTGTTCCATCCTGAGCCCACACCACCCCCAGGCCCTCATGCTTTTCCCACCCCCAGACCCCCTGGAATGCTGGGACTGCTTCCTTATCTGCCCCTCTTCTCTCCTCTCCCCCCACTCCCCACCCCCGGCCTCCATCCTGCATGTATGGCCCTGCCTCTCCTGGGCAGCTGCTTGCACCAGCCGGGCCATCAGACACTGACGTGGCCCTCCTGGGGTGACGTGAATGCTACACCAGCTCTGAGGCCCCCCAGCCTTCTTTCCAGACCTTGGGGGGGGGCATTGGCTGAGGGGAACAGACCGGATTCCTCTGACCACCCCCACCCCTTGCTGCTCTGCCTCTTCTCAGCCTGCTGGCTTCCCCCTGTCTCCTCCGCTCTTCCCACCGGCCACGCCTGCACCCCGCCCTCCTGAGTCCCCTTCCCCTAGGAACTGGTCCTCTCTCCCCGGGGGGCTGCCCAGGGCCCTGGGACTCCTTTACCTGGGGGACCACGGGCGAAAGAGAAGGTGGGGTCTGAGGATTCCCTCCGCCCAGCGCTGTGCCCGCAAATGTGCAAATGGGTTTTTTGGTGTTTTTTTGTTTTTTTTATTGGTTTTTTACAGAGAGGAAGGGAGAGGGATAGAGAGTTAGAAACATCGATGAGAGAGAATCATCCATCAGCTGCCTCCTGCACACCCCCTCCTGGGGATGTGCCTGCCACCCAGGTACGTGCCCTTGACCGGAATTGAACCCGGGACCTTTCAGTCCGCAGACCAACCGGCTCTACCGCTGAGCCAAACCGGTTTCGGCTATTTTTGTTTTTTTTTGTTTGGTTTTTTTTATTATTGGTTTTTACAGAGAGGAAAAGAGAGGGACAGAGAGTCAGAAACATTGATGAGAGACAAACATGGATCAGCTGCCTCCTGCACACCCCCTACTGGGGATGTGCCCGCAACCCAAGTACATGCCCTTGACCGGAATCAAACCTGGGACCCTTAAGTCTGCAGGCCGATGCTCTATCCACTGAGCCACACCGGTTTCGGCCTGTGCCCGCAAATGTTTAACAACGGGCTCTCACAGGCAGCGTCCGCCAGTGTCCGAGGGAGAACACTCCCACCCAGGCCCGTTGCAGGCGGCCGCTGGGGTGTGGCCAGAGGCAGAGTTGGGGAGACACGGGCAGCATGGCTCTCCCACGCCAGAGGGCCAGGGTCAGCGTCCCCCCCATCCTCCCCCTCTCCCTGCCTGTCCATCCCCCAGGCTGCCCCCGGAGCTCAGGAGCTCAGAGCCCGTGACCCATAGAGCTTTGTGGGGGGAGGGACCCTCTTCCCCGCCTCTCACCTGCCCCCCAGAGAGAACATCAAAAGCCAGGACCCTTCCCTGACCAGTTAGCTCAGTGGATAGAGCATCGGCCTGCAGACTTAAGGGTCGCGGGTTCGATTCCGGTCAAGGGCATGTACCTTGGTTGCAGGCACATCCCCAGTAGGGGTTGTGTAGGAGGCAGCTGATCGATATTTCTCTCTCATGGATGCTTCTAACGTTCTATCACTCTCTCTTCCTCTCTGTAAAAAATCAATAAAATATATTTTTTTAAAAACAAAACAAAAAAAAAACAGGACCCTCCCTGGGACCCTCCTTGGCCCTTTAAGAGGGAGACACCTGCGGAAACCGGTTTGGCTCAGTGGTAGGGTGTCGGTCTGCGGACTGAGAGGTCCCAGGTTTGATTCCGGTCAGGGGCATGTACCTTGGTTGCGGGCACATCCCCAGTGGGGGTGTGCAAGAGGCAGCTAGTTGATTTTCTCTCCTCGACGTTTCTAGCTCTCTATCTCTCTCCCTTCCTCTCTGTAAGAAATCAATAATATATACACTTTTTTTTTTTTTAAGTCGGAGACACCTGTGCACTGAGCTAGAGCCAGCTCAGACGGACGGACGGACGGATGGACGGACTCGCAGCTCTGCGTCCTCTTTGGACCCAGAGCAGAGTGACTTCTCCTCTGTCCCCACCCCATGGTCCCTCCCTTCATGGCCCCAGCTCTGCCTCCGGCTGCTGCCGCCTTCACACACCCCTCCCCTCAACCCCCTCTCTCCCTAGAGACCCTCAGAGCCTCCAGAGCAGGCAGACACAGGAGAGAAGCTGGGAGGTGGGGGTGGGGGGGAGAGGGAGAAGGAAGGGGCATGAGAAAGGGGGGGTGGCCAGGCCTTCCTGGCTTCCACCCTGAATCCCCATCCTCCTGGGCCTCTCGCCGCCTCTGAAGGGGTGACCTCCAAGGCAGGCAGGGCGAGCACAGGCGTCAGGGCCAGGAGGCTGGTGGCCTCGGCCCCTCCCGTCAAGCCCCCCGCCCCCTCCTGTGTTGCAGACCAGACGCTGTGCGAGGACGGCTGGACCAAGTTCCAGGGCCACTGCTACCGCCACTTCCCGGAGCGCGAGAGCTGGGTGGACGCCGAGAGCCGCTGCCGGGAGCACCAGGCCCACCTGAGCAGCATCGTCACCCCCGAGGAGCAGGAGTTTGTCAACAGTGAGTGCGCCGGGGTCTCCCGCCCCGGAGGGAAGGGGCCGGGAGCCGGCAGACTGGGACCCAGCAAGGCTGCAAGGGTGAGGGGTGGGGGGCGGAGAGTCTTTGGGGCCACTGGCTCCTGCTGCACCCAGGACAGCCCAGCATCTTGTCAGAGTCAGCCCCCTGCCCTGGGCGGTGTGGCTCAGTGGGTAGAGCATCGGCCTGCGGACTGAAGGGTCCCAGGTTCGATTCCGGTCAAAGGCACATGCTCGGGTTTCAGGCTCAGTCCCCAGTGGGGGGCGTGCAAGAGGAAGCCGATCCATGATTCTCTCTCATCATTGATGTGTCTGTCACTCTTTTTCTCCCTCTCCCTTGCTCTTCGAAATTATGATAATAAAAATGTACTTTAAGCCGAAACTGGTTTGGCTCAGTGGTAGAGCGTCCATCTGTGGACTGAAAGGTCCCGGATTTGATTCCAGTCAAGGGCATGTACCTTGCTTGCGGGTATATCCCCAGTAGGGGGTGTGCAGGAGGCAGTTGATCGATGATTCTCTCTCATCGATGTTTCTAACTCTTTTCCTCTCTCTTCCTCTCTGTAAAAAATCAATAAAATATTTTTTTTTATTTTTTTTTTAATGTACTTTAACCCCTAACCGGTTTGGCTCAGTGGCTAGAGCGTCGGCCTGCGGACTGAAAGGTCCCAGGTTCGATTCCGGTCAAGGGCATGTACCTTGGTTGCTGGCACATCCCCAGTGGGGGTTGTACAGGAGGCAGCTGATGGATGTCTCTCTCTCATCGATGTTTCTAACTCTTTTCCTCTCTCTTCCTCTCTGTAAAAACTCAATAAAATATATTTATTTGTTTAATGTCCTTTAAGAAGGAAAATCAGCCCAGAGTAACCCCGTGGCTGTCACCAGCCTGTGCCAGCTGGGGGCGGCGGCCGCAGCCACTCCCAGCATGCATGTGCCCTTGTCCGGACCTCAGGCGCAGATGCCGTGTATCCTGGGAGCGCACCCACGTCCCCCTCTTCCCTCCCCCCGCCCCCAGTCCCTCTGCCTCTGTGAGCTCCAGTGTGCCTCCACCCCAATGCCCATGTCCCCTCCGCAGACAACGCTCAGAACTACCAGTGGATCGGCCTCAACGACCGGAGCATTGAAGGGGACTTCCGCTGGTCAGACGGACACTCCCTGGTGCGTTCTGCCGGGGCCCGGCAGCGCGGGCGGCTCCGAGGGGGAGGGATAGAGCCCCCAGAGAGAGACGCAGTCCAGCCACACCCAGAGCAGACGCTGCTCCAGGCACTCGGGGCAGGGGTGGCGGGGGAGGGGGAGATTGTGTGTGGGGGGGGGGGGGTCTTGTTCATCTCTGCCTTCCAACATCAGCCCAGGGCAGGACACGCTGAGCGAGTGACCCCATGAGGGAAGGAGGAGGGCAGTGAATGAGTGAATGAGTGAGTGAATGAATGAAGGTAAACCACCCTGCAAGATGTATGGAAGCTTTAGAGGTCCACAAAGGACTCATGTGGACTCAGACAGACAGACAGACAGCACCATAGTCGCCACATGAACAGCACACATAGTAAACGCCCTGCCTCTGGGAGCTCAAGTGGCTCAGACGTCCCAGAAGGCTTCCCGGCCCGGCCGGCGTGGCCCAGTGGTTGAGCATCCACCTAGGAACCAGGAGGTCAGGGTTCGATTCCCGGTCAGGGCACAGGCCCAGGTTGCGGGCTCCATCCCCAGTGTGGGGCGTGCAGGAGGCAGCCGATCCATGATTCTCATCACTGATGTCTCTGTCTCTCCCTCTCCCTTCCTCTCTGAAATCAATAAAAATATATATATCTATATATATATGTGTATATGTATATGTAAATGTATATATACATATATAGATTTTTTTTAAAAGCCCTAGCCAGTTTGGCTCAGTGGATGGAGCATCAGCCTACAGACCAAAAGGTCCTGGGTTCGATTCCAGTCAAGGGCATGTACCTCGGTTGCAGGCTCCTCCTAGGTGTGCGGGCCCTGATCCAGGCACATGCAGGAGGCAACCAGTCGATGTGTCTCTCTCACATCGATGTTTCTTTCTGTGTGTCTCCCCCTCCCTAAAAATCAGTGGGAAAATATCCTCGGGTGAGGATTAACGAGAAAGAGAGAGAGAGAGAGGGAGAGGGAGAGGGAGAGGAAGAGAGAGAGATGCGGCTGGGTGTGACAGAAGAGAAAGTGGGGGTCAGCATGTGGACTCAAGATGGCCGCCACAAAATGGCCAGCAAGGGTGGGCAGTTGGCAGGGACCAGGCCTGCAAGGGAAGGTAGTTGGGGGCAATCAAGCCTGCAGGGGAGGGTAGTTAGGAATGACCAGGCTGGCAGAGCAGAGAAGTTGGGGATGACCAGGCCTGCAGGGAAGGACAGTTAGGGGGGACCCAGTACTGTAGGGGAGAGCAGGTCGGGGGGAACAGGCCTGCAGGGGAAGGTAGTCAAGGGTGACCAGGCCTCCAGGGGAGGACAGTTAGGGACAAACAGGTTGGCAGGGGAGCAGTTAGGCACCAATCAGGCTAGCAGGGGAGTGTTTAGGGAGTGATCAGGCTGGCAGGCAGAAGTGGTTATGGGAAATCAGGAAGGAAAAAAAAAAAAAGAAAGTGGGGGTCAGGCCAGGTGGCTTCTGTGCCTGCCTCACCCCTGCCCCACTCCCCCTCACAGCAATTTGAGAACTGGCGCCCCAACCAGCCGGACAACTTCTTCGCCTCCGGGGAGGACTGCGTGGTGATGATCTGGCACGAGAAGGGCGAGTGGAACGACGTGCCCTGCAACTATCACCTGCCCTTCACGTGCAAGAAGGGCACAGGTAAGCAGGACTTCCGGGCCCGGCCCCGGACGGTATGGCTCAGTGGGTAGAGCGTCGGCCTGTAGACGGGAGGGTCCCGGCTTCGATTCCGGTCAAGGGCGCGAACCCTGGTAGCGCCATTCCCCCCTGGCCTCGTTGAGGCGAGTCTAGGAGGCAACCAATCTCTGTGTCTCCCTCACGTCCATGTTTCTTTCTGTAAGTCTCTCCCCCTCCCTTCCACTCTCTCTAAAAAAATCAATGGAAAGCCAAAACCGGGCTGGCTCAGTGGATGGAGCGTCGTCGGCCTGCGGCCTGGGGGCGGGGGTCCCAGGTTCGATTCCGGTCAAGGGCATGGACCTTGGCTGCGGGCACATCCCCAGTGGGGGGTGTGCAGGAGGCAGCTGGTCGATGTTTTCTCTCTCATCGATGTTTCTGACTCTCTATCCCTCTCCCTTCCTCTCTGTAAAAAATCAATGAAATATATTTAAAGCCGAAACCAGTGTGGCTCAGTGGATAGAGCGTCGGCTTGTGGACTGAAGGGTCCCAGGTTCAATTCCGGTCAAGGGCATGGACCTTGGCTGCGGGCACATCCCCAGTGGGGGGTGTGCAGGAGGCAGCTGGTCGATGTTTTCTCTCTCATCGATGTTTCTGACTCTCTATCCCTCTCTCTTCCTCTCTGTAAAAAATCAATGAAATATATTTAAAGCCGAAACCAGTGTGGCTCAGTGGATAGAGCGCCGGCCTGCAGATTGAAGGGTCCCAGGTTCGATTCCGGTCAAGGGCATGGACCTTGGCTGCGGGCACATCCCCAGTGGGGGGTGTGCAGGAGGCAGCTGGTCGATGTTTTCTCTCTCATCGATGTTTCTGACTCTCTCTCCCTCTCCCTTCCTCTCTGTAAAAAAATCAATAAAATATATTTAAAAAGAACGCCCACGGAGCTGGCTGGCATGGATTCAGATCGCCAGCCCCCCACGTGTCAGGGTCACGTTGGAATTAGCCCTCCTTGTTAGCCTCCTCCTGACGGGTGTCTGCCCCCCAGTGGCCTGCGGAGAGCCCCCCGCGGTGGAGCACGCCAGGACCTTCGGCGGGAAGAGGGAGCGCTACGAGATCAACGCGCTGGTGCGGTACCAGTGCGCCGAGGGCTTCGTCCAGCGCCACCTGCCCACCATCCGGTGCCTGCCCAGCGGGCGCTGGGAGGAGCCCCGCGTCACCTGCACAGACCGTGAGCACCGCCCCTCCCGCCCTGGCCCGGCGCCCCGCGTCCCCCTTCCCGCCCCGCGTCCCAACCTGCTGGCCCTGTCCCGGGGGCCCCACACCCTCACGGGCAGCACCGTCTGTGGGCATGGTCACCTGTCCCCTGCCCTGCCCCCTGGCCTGGCCCCAGGGACAGAGGAGAAAGCAGGCAGCCTGCTCCCCCTCTCAAACCCAGCCCAAGCCCCTTAGCCCAAGTTAATTCAAGAAAACTCAGACGGGCCCCAGCTGGTGTGGCTCAGTGGGTAGAGCGTCGGCCTACAGACTGAAGGGTCCCGGGTTCGATTCCTGGTCAAGGGCATATGCCTTGGTTGCGGGCACATCCCCATTGGGAGGGGGTGCAGGAGGCAGCTGATCTATGTTTCTCTGTCATCGATGTTTTCTAACTCTCTATCCTTCTCCCTTCCTCTCTGTGAAAATCAATATTAAAAAAAAAGAAAGAAAGAAAACTCAGACAGGCCCCAGCTGGTTTAGGTGGGTAGAGTGTTGGCCTGCAGACTGAAGGGTCCCGGGTTCGATTCCTGGAATCAGGGCACATGCCCGGGTTGTGGGCTCAATCCCCAATGCAGGAGGCAGCCGATCCATGATTCTCATCATTGATGTTGCTCTCTCTCTCTCCCCCCTGTCCTCCTGTCTGAAATCAATAAAAATATGTTTAAAGAAAAAGAAAACCCAGTGCCCTGACTGGTTTGGCTCAGTGGATAGAGCATCAGCCTGTGGATTGAAGGGTCCCGGGTTCGATTCCGGTCAAGGGCATGTACATTGGTTGCGGGCACATCCCCAGTAGGAGGTGTGCAGGAGGCAGCTGATCGATGTTTCTCTCTCATCCATGTTTCTAACTCTCTATTCCTCTCCCTTCCTCTCTGTAAAAAATCAATAAAATATATTTATTTAGAAAGGAGGAGAAAATAAATGAAAAACTATTTTTTTAAAAATCAATAAAAAATATTTTTAAAAAGAAAAAGAAAACTCAGAAGGTAATAGAAAAAAAAAACCCTCCCTAGCCTCGGCTTCTGCAGGGAGCAGGCGGGCGGGCGGGCAGGACAGGGAGGGGCCGGGCTGGGCCCCTTTTTTCCGGTGGGGGGTGGATATGGGGAGTGGCGTTCACCAAGACTGTCCCCTCTCCCCCCCCAGCCGCCACCTACAAGCGCCGACTACAGAAGCGGAGCCCCCGGGCTGCCCGGAGGAACCCCAGCACAGCCCACTGAGAGGACCCCGGCCGCCCCCCGGATGCTGAGCCCAGACAGAGTCCGTCCCCTCGGACGGCGTCCTCCTCCCGTCGCTTTCCGCCGTCTAAGGAACCCCGAGAAAGAAGGAACACGTGAAATCCCAGTGTGTATGCCCCCGCCCCGCCCCACCCGCCCGGAACGGCCAAACACACGCATCGGACGCCCCCTCCACCCCCCCCAACCCCCCCAAACACATGCCAAAGCGAAGCAGACGTATGTAACCGGTGGACCGAGTGTAGACGTTTCTGGACCCTCCCGACATGCCCTTTCAGGGACCAGAGCAGGGACAGGGAGCAGAGGGGGGGGATTAATTTAAATAATAAAGAAGATTATTTTCTGTTTGCTGACTTTATACAAGAGCAGTGCAATTGATCGCTGGTTCTTCCCGACCTCCAGGGAGAGCTAGGGAGGAGGGAGGAGGGGCGGGAGGAGCTGGGAGGGGCAGAGGCCCGGGGCAGGAAGAGCGAGGAGCCACAGCTGAATGTACAGACTCTTCCGTCCGTCCGTCCGTCCTCCCGCCCGCCCGGCGTCCCCTCACCCGGCCTGCCACCCTAGCAGGTGCCATCTCTCTCGGCAGGACTGGGTGGGAGCACCTCCTCCTTCCCGGTGGGAGCGCCCCCGCCCCTCCCCCTCCCGCCCCCGCCCCTCCCCCTCCCGCCCCCGCCCCTCCCCCCTCCCCACCGGGACCGTGCAGGCACCAGGGTTCCGCGCACCTATTTATATTTTTGGAAATTGAAGATTATGATAATTATAATAATAAAGACGTTGGAAGAGATCTATTTCTTTCCCCCCCCTTTTTTTTTCTTTTTAATTTAAAGAGGTAACGGTGATCTAGGGTCTACTAAAGGATGGGTGGTAGGGGAGGGACAGGTTTTGGTCAAATGACCCCAAATGGGGAATCCTATCTGTTCAGAGAGCCTGGGACAGTCTGTGCTTTGATTTTGCAAGAGCACAGGTGGGATGGATGGAGAGAGAAGCCGGGAGAGAGCGTGTGTGTGTGTGTGTGTGTGTGTGTGTGAGAGAGAGAGAGAGAGAGAGAGAGAGAGAGAGAGAGAGGGAGACAGGGAAAGGGTCACATTCCCATAGTTGGTCCTTTAAAGAAAAATTATTTTTTATTTATTTTTATTTTGTATTAAATTCATAGAGGAATCTCTCCCTTTCTCTCTGAAAGCAATAACAGTACTTTTTTTTTTTTTTAATTTAAGTTGAGGCCTAACCGGTTTGGCTCAGTGGATAGAGCATAGGCCTGCAGACTGAAGGGTCGCAGGTTCGATTCTGGTCCAGGGCATGTACATTGGTTGCGGGCACATCCCCAGTAGGAGGTGTGCAGGAGGCGGCTGATCGACGTTTCTCTCTCATCGATGTTTCTAACTCTCTATCCCTCTCCCTTCCTCTTTGTAAAAAAATCAATAAAAATATATTTTTTAAAAAAATTTAGGTTGAGAAGTATAAAAAGAATAGGGAACAAGATCCACTTAGTAAACACGGCCGTGAGGGGGGTGGCATGGGCAGGCAGGTGCCGGCTCTAGCGAGGAGGGCGGTAACAGTAGACTCCGTAGTTGCGGCTTTGCGGGTCTGGGAAGCCGAAGCTTCGGACCCCGGGCTCCGGGGGCCCGCAGGCGGGGCGTGGGCGAGCCACGGGGTAGCGGGCGCTGCCGTCGGCCAGCCAGCCGGCGTCGCAGCGGTCCAGGCCGCGGAACTTCCAGGCGGCGAAGAGCTGGCCCACCTTGGCGATCTGGGCACCGTCTTCCCGGCAGGCGGCCTTGGCCTCGGAGAGGGTCAGCTTTTCGGGGTGCTCCAGGTAGTACACCCGCCCTGTGGGAACGTGGGGTGAGGGCTGGGCGGCGGAGGGGACGGCCAGACCTGCAGCACCACCTGCCGCACAGACATCACTACCCAGACCCCAAAGATCTGTCTCTCTGTGCCTCAGTTTCCTCATCTGTAAAACAAGGGTATTATGCCGAGACCGGTTTGGCTCAGTGGGTAGAGCGTCGAGCTGCAGACAAAAGGGTCCCAGGTTCGATTCCAGTCAAGGGCATGGACCTTGGTTGCGGGCACATCCCCAGTAGGGGGTGTGCAGGAGGCGGCTGGTCGATGTTTCTCTCTATCCCTCTCCCTTCCTCTCTGTAAAAAAATCAATAAAATTTATATTTTTTAAAAAAGAATGTTTACTTTGCTTGTGGTTCCCCGGGCTGGCAGTTTGGCCTGCAGAACCACAATAGTGAACACAGGGAGAGGTGCCCCAGGGCAGGCAGAGGGCTCCCCCCACCCACAGCCCCCCCACTCACCCCTGAGGGCAGGGGCGAAGCAGAACACGTCGTAGCGGTGCAGACGGCGGTGGCGGGGCCCGTAGCTGCGGACGCCGGGCGCCAGGCTCAGGCCCCCGCAGGGCCCCCGGGCCCGCCTGACGGGGTACCGCACCGAGCCGTCCTGCAGCCAGCCCGCGCTGCACCAGTGCAGGCCCTCCTCCCAGGCCCAGAACAGCTGCTCGAAGGAGGCCACGGCCGCCTCCTGGGCCTCGCAGGCCTGCTGGGCCTCCTGGAAGTTGAGCTGGTAGCGCCCCTGAGGGGGCTGGTAAGGGAACACCACACCTGGGGAGGGAGGGAGGGAGGGAGGGAGGGAGGGAGGGAGAGGAGGGAAGAGGGCTTGGAGGGAGGGGACCCCGGTCCCCTGCCCCCACATCTCCATGGGGACATGCTCCACCCCCCACCCAGGACACACACACAGTCCCTCGGAGGAGCCCAGCAAAGCTGTCCCCTTAGCTGAAACCGGTGTGGCTCAGTGGATAGAGCCTCGGCCTGCGGACTGAAGGGTCCCGGGTTCAATTCCAGGCAAGGACACATGCCCGGGTTGTGGGCTCCATCCCTAGTAGGGGGCATGCAGGAGGCAGCCGATCAGTGCCTCTCTCTCGTCATCGCTGTTTCTCTCTTCTCCTCTATATCAATAAAAACATATTTTTAAAAAAAATGTTTATCTGGCCTAACTAGTTTGGCTCAGTGGATAGAGCGTCGGCCTGCGGACTGAAAGGTCCCGGGTTCGATTCCGGTCAAGGGCATGTGCCTTGGTTACGGGCTCATCCCCAGTAGGGGGTGTGCAAGAGGCAGCTGATCGATGTTTCTCTCTCATCGATGTTTCTAACTCTCTATCCCTCAACCTTCCTCTCTGTAAAAAATCAAATATATATATATATATATATATATATATATATATATATATATATATTAATCATGATCCTTTTTTTATTATTATTGATTTTTTACAGAGAGGAAGGGAGAGGGATAGAGAGCCAGAAATATCCATCAGCTGCCTCCTGCACACCCCCTACTGGGGATGTGCCCGCAACCAAGGCACATGCCCTTGACCGGAATCGAACCCGGGACCTTTCAGTCCGCAGCCCCACATTCTATCCACTGAGCCACACCGGTTTCGGCAATAAAATATATATATTTTTTAATGTTTATCTGCATAAAGCCCCAAGGTCCCACTGCTTTCTCACCCACGCCCCCTCGGACCCCGCACCACGCAGCCCCCGCGGGCCTCACCCCGCAGCTCCAGCTGCACCACGCCGCTCCCGTCTTCCAGCCCATCGATGACCTCGCAGCGGTAGCGCCCCGAGTCCTCCAGCCGAAAGTCCCAGATCTCCAGGGACACGTCCCCCTCCTCCGCCCCCCGCAGGCGCACGCGGCCCTGGTAGTCCCCGAAGGCGCGGTGCCTGGGCCCGACGGCCACCAGCACGTCCCGCTCCGGGGCCCCGTCCTCCTCCGCCGGCAGCTTCCACCACTTGACGCGCACGGGCCCATGGGAGCTCGGGGCAGGCTCGTAGCGGTACCGGCAGGGCAGGGTCACGTGGGCCCCCCGGTGGGCAAACAGGGTGTCCTCGGGCGTCTCCACCACCAGCTTCCTGCCGTGGAAGATGCCTGGGGGGTTGCGGGGGCGGGGGCGACCCGCTGCAGATCATCTGTTACCCCAGCAAGGGTTACCCCATCCTCGTCCTAGCTCCCTCCCCTCCCTCCATATGACACATGGCAAGAATAGCCACAGTGCTCGTTGAAACCGGTTTGGCTCAGTGGCTAGAGCATCAGTTTGCAGACTGAAAGGTCCCAGGTTCGATTCCAGTCAAGGGCGTGTGCCTTGGTTGCGGGCACATCCCCAGGTGGGGGTATGCAGGAGTCAGCTGGTCGATGTTTCTCTCTCATCCATGTTTCTTTTCTTTTCTTTTTTTAAAATATATATATTTTTAATGTTTTATTGATTTTTCTACAGAAAGGAAGAGAGAGGGACAGAAAGTTGGAAACATCGATGAGAGAGAAACATCCATCAGCTGCCTCCTGCACACCCCCCACTGGGAATGTGCCCGCAACCAAGGCACACGCCCTTGTCAGGAATCGAACCTGGGACCCTTGGGTCCGCAGGCCGACGCTCTATCCACTGAGCCAAACCGGTTTCGGCTCTCATCCATGTTTCTAACTCTCTCTCCCTCTCCCTTCCTCTCTGTAAAAATCAATAAAATATATTTTTTTTTTAAAAAGAAAAAAGGAATAGCCACAGTGCTGCACCCCTCCCCGTACCCATTATGGCTCTGCAGGCATGTGAGTGATTGATTTAGGCCGCACTGCCAACCCGTGGAATCACCAGCACAGTAAACATCGCAAGGCCCCAAGTGGGTGGTGACTCAGAAGTTTCCTTAAACCTCATTCAAGCAGTGCTTGGGCAGCAAAATAAATTCCAGAGAAAAAGGGTGTGGAGGCTAAAAGAACGGGTCCCCAAAATATCCACGTCCTAACGCCTGAGTGTGGACTTATATGGCAACACGAACTCCGCAGATGTGACTGAATGAAGGACATTGAGAAAGAGGGTGTGTGTAGACTGGAGTTTCCACAGAAATCCTCACGGCAATTGTAAGTACTGTATCTTTTTTTTTTTTAATGTATTTTTATTGATTTCAGAGAGGAAGGGAGAGGGAAGCAGAGAGAGAGGGAGAGAAACATCAATGATGCGAGAGAATCATCCATTGGCTGTGCCTCCTGCACGCCCCACCCTGGGGATGGAGCCCACAACCCGGCCATGTGCCCTGACCGGGAATCGAACCGTGACCTCCTGGTTCATAGGTTGAGTCCCAACCGCTGAGCCACGCAGTTGGAAGGGGAGGTCCCCTTTTGAAGCTGGATCCTGACAAATTGGCAGGACTTTGGGGAAGTACAAAAAGCCGAAGTGACCGTCCTTCAGTGCATCTGAGGGGCTCCAAGCACAGAGTCGTGCTGAACAGCCTTTTCTGCCAGTCTTAGAAACGCAGCTGGTGCCAAACCACCGTGGCTCTGGTTGAGCGAAGACTTATGAATCAGGAGGTCACGGGTTCGATTCCCAGACTGGGTTGCAGGCTTGGTCCCCAGCAGGGGGCGTGCAGGAGGCAGCCGATCCATGATTCTCTCTGATCATGGGTGTCTCGCCCTCTCCCTTCCTCTCTGAGATCAATAAAGAAATTTTTTTTTAAAGAAAGAAAGAAAAGAAGGAAGGCTGAAGCCGTTTTGGCTCAGTGAATATAGAGTATCGGCCTGTAGACTGAAGGGTCCCAGGTTCGATTCTGATCAAAGGCATGTACCTTGGTTGCAGGCACATCCCCAGTGGGAGGTGTGCAGGAGGCAGCTGATCAATGATTCTCTCCCATCGATGTTTCTAACTCTCTCTCCCTTCTTCTCTGTACAAAATCAATAAAATACATTTTTTATTTTTTATTTTTTTAAATATATTTTATTGATTTTGAACAGAGAGGAAGGGAGAGGAATAGCAAGTTAGAAACATCGATGAGAGAGTCATCGATCAGCTGCCTCTTGCACACCCCCTACTGGGGATGTGCCTGCAACCAAGGTCCATGCCCTTGACCGGAATCGAACCCGGGACCCTTCAGCCCGCAAGCTGACACTCTATCGTCTATCCACTGAGCCAAACCGGTTTCGGCAAAAATATATTTTTTTAAAAAGAAAGAAAGGACAGTGGTCTGTTGCAAGGGCCCAGGCTGGGAAAAGGCTGCTGGCTGCACGCCGGGTCCTCCCTCCCAGCCTGAAACCTCCATTTCATAGCAAAGTTGGGGAGGGGGAGGAGGGTCTTGCTCGTCCTTAGGGGCTAAAGGCTCGGCCAGGATGCCACCCACCTCCGCCGAGGCCCGGGTCCCAGCCGTGGGCGCTGTTGGAGTAGTAGAAGCCGTTGTAGAAGGGCAGGCCGGGGACGCAGGGCAGCGGCAGCAGCAGGGCCAGGAGGAGCAGGCGGCCCATGGCGGCAGCGCCGGCGTGTCCTGAGCAGGGCCGCGGCCAGGCAAACGGGAAAGAAGAGAAAAGCGAGCCAATGAAAGGGGCCCCTCTCCCGAGGGCCGGGACCCCCGGGTTCCAGCACCCACTCATTCTCCGCCGCCTAGGTCCTTAAGAAGCACTGTCCAGCCGAAACCGGTTTGGCTCAGTGGATAGAGCGTTGGCCTGTGGACTGAAGGGTCCCAGGTTCGATTCCGGACAAGGACATGTACCTTGGTTGCGGGCACATCCCCAGTGGGAGGTATGCAAGCGGCAGGTGACTGGTGATTCTCTCTCATTGATGTTTCTAACTCTCTATCCCTCTTTGTAAAATATATTTTAAAAAAGAAGCATGGTCGGCGCACCAGGCACTGCTCTCAGGGCCTGGGGCTTATCAGTTGTGGGATTCTGGGCAGGTTTCCTGGTTTGTGAAACGGAAATGGCAAAACTCACCTGGGGCCCTAGCGGGTTTGGCTCGGGGCATAGAGCAATCGGCCTGCAGACCAGAGGGTCCGGGGTTCAATTCCAGTCATGGGCACATTCCTGGGCTGCAGGTCTTGGTCCAGGTACCTGCAGGAGGCAATCAATCAATGTGTTTCTCTCACATCGATGTTTCTCTCTGTCTCTTCTCCCTCTCTCTTCCACTCTTTCGAAAAATCAATGGGACAATACCCCCAGGTGAGGATTAAGAACAAATGAAGATTAAGGCCGAAACCGGTTTGGCTCAGTGGATAGAGCGTCGGCCTGCAGACTGAAAGGTCCCAGGTTCGATTCCAGTCAAGGGCATGTACCTTGGTTGCGGGCACATCCCCAGTGGGGGGTGTGCAGGAGGCAGCTGATGGATGATTCTCTCTCATCGATGTTTCTAACTATCTCTCTCTCTTCCTCTCTGTAAAAAGATCAATAAAATATTTTTTAATTAAAAAAATAAGAAAAATAAGATGAAGGCAGAGCGTTAGAATACTGCCTGGGAGAGAGGACGCGCCCCAAAATATTCATTATTATTACTACTGTGGACGGCTCTTTCTCCTCTCTCCTTGCCTGGGAGGGAAGCAACCACCACCGTCTTCTCTTTTCAGCTGGAGAAACTCAGGCCCAGGCTTTATCTTTGCAGAGCAGGTAGAGCTCAGAGAAAAACGCAGGTCTCCGGATGGCCCGGCCTTGGCTTTTCCCCCCAGTCACCGCTTGCCTGGGGGACCCCTCCACACGCTAGAATAAACGGAACCCCCAACTTGGAAGGCAGATGGAGCACCACCAGCGTGCGATTCCCCCAGGCACCAGCAGGGGGCAGCATTGCCCAGCGGGTCTCCAGTATCCAGCCGCCAACGCCGCCACCGGGCGGAATCAGACTTGGGGGGAGCGGGGGGAGGGCCTGTTTTTAGACAAGGCTTACAAATGCCTTTGAAATCTACGGGGTCCCGGGAAAGGGGGTGCCGGGGGTGATTCCTACCAGCTTTCCCAGCCCCGAGGCCCGTGCAGGTGCCCGGGAGAGGGGTCAGGGCGCCTCTCAATCACCTCCCGAGGGTCAGCGCTGGCCACCGCCGTCCACACGGGGTCACAGGCTGGCCACAGAGCTGGGGGAGCCCCAGGACCCTGCTGTCTCCTTCCTGGGCGCTCACCAACCCCAAACCTGCTTGACCTCTCCCCACCCCCAGAGACCCATCTCCCACCCAGGGCTCCCCCCCCCCCGCCCTCCCTGCCCTTTTGGGTCTCAGGGCCGAAACCCCAGGGAAACTGAGGCCTGACACCGACGGACACCCTTTGCTTTTGCCCTGGGGCTGCAGCTCGGCTCGCCCACCTGCCCTCCCGCTCTCCACCCGCACCCCTGCACCCCCTCCAGCCCCAAGGCTGACCCGGCTGTGCTGGCGGCTGCAGGGCGGGACAGGACGGGGTGGGAAGGAGTCGGGAGCCCCACCCCACACCCCATGGGGACTGGGATGGACCCCGGAGGCGATCCCGGAGGCCCCCGGGGTGCGCCCTGATGGTGCCCCCTTCGGGGCGCGCACGTGGGTCCCGGTCTCACCTCCCTGGCGCCCCGAGCGCCCCGCGCCGGTGCTCACAGCCCAGCACCCCGGCCGCTGCCCCGGAGGCACGGGGACCCCCGGAGACCGGAAGCCCCGAAGCCCCGAGAAAGGAACGCGCCGTCGTCCCCCCCCCCCCCTCCCGCTCTCACCTCCCCGGCGCCCCCAGCACCCGCGCCGGTGGCCACAGCCCAGCAGGGATCACCGGAGACCGGAAGCCCGGAAGCCCCGAAGCCCCGAGGGAGGAACGCGCCGTCCCCGGCGGCTCCTCGACGGCGGCCCCCGCGCGCGCGCGCTCGGGGATGGAGTGCGGGCTCCCCGGGTCCGAGGACGCAGCGGATCGGGGGACCTCGCGTGGCCAGAAAGGAAGTGGCTGAGGACAAACCCCGGGCCTGCCCCTTAAAGGAATACACACGCCCCCCTTTCCCTCCAAAGAAGGGAATCCAAAGGGAGGGAGGGAGGAAGGGGTGGCCTGGGCCCCAGACTCCGCTGGGGACCACCCCACACTGGGGGCTGCAGGCCGGAGCTGAGGCGTCAGGTCCTGGAGAAGGTGAGGGAGGGGTGGAGGAGCATGTGTAGAGGGGGTCCCCATGAGGATGCTCTGCTGTACCCCAAACAGTGCGACTAAGAGGGATCGGGGGACCCCCTCCTCTCCAGCCCTCTGCAGGTGGGCTAGGGCCGCCGCCAGCTTTCTTTTTAAATATATTTTATTGATTTTTTTTTTCAGAGAGGAAGAGAGAAGGATAGAGAGCTAGAAACGTCGATGAGAGAGAATCATCCATCAGCTGCCTCTTTGCACACCCCCCACTGGGGATGTGCCCACAATCAAGGTACATGCCCTTGACCGGAATCGAACCCGAGACTCTTCAGTCCGCAGGCCGATGCTCTATCCGCTGAGCCACACCGGTTCCAGCCCAATCAGGACACTCTTGCGAGCTTCTGGGACAAGGATGCCCAGGGTCTGAGGCCCCCCCCCCCCGATGGGCCCCGCTTTGCATGGATGGGTACACTCCCTCGCCTAGTCCCACCATAGGCAATGGAGTCGGCCCCGTTATTGCTGAGGCCCAGAGATTTTCATTATTGAATGTTCCTCAGGGCCAGGCTGTCCAACTTCAGACCTGGGGCTCCTCATCACCTCACGGACAAGGACCAGCCCCCTAGCCGGTGTGGTTCAGTGGATAGAGCACAGGCCTGCGAACAGAAGGGTCCTGGGTTCGATTCCGGCCAAGGGCGAGCACGCAGTCTGCTGGTCCCCAGGAGAGGCCAGAGCGGGGTTGGGGGCAGGAAATGGCCAGCATCCATCCAGAAAGACTGGCTCCAGCCGGCTGATGTGGCTCTGAAGTTGAGCTTCGGCCCCATGAACCAGGAGGTCAGGGTTCGATTCCTGGTCAGGGCATGCGCCGGGGTTGCGGGCTAGATCCCCAGTGGGGGGCGTGCAGGAGGCAGCTGGTCCATAATTCTCTCATCACTGATGTTTGTCTGTCTCTCTCTCCCTCCCTCTTCCTTTCCTGAAATCAATAAAAATATTTTTTGGCCGAAACCGGTTTGGCTCAGTGGATAGAGCGTCGGCCTGCGGACTGAAGGGTCCCAGGTTCGATTCCGGTCAAGGGCATGTACCTTGGTTGCGGGCACATCCCCAGTAGGGGGTGTGCAGGAGGCAGCTGATCGATGATTCTCTCTAGCTGATGTTTCTAACTCTCTCCCCCTCTCCCTTCCTCTCTGTAAAAAAAAAAATCAGTAAAATATATATATTTTTTAAAATCATTAAGATATATTAAAAAACAAAAAAACTGCTCCAAACCTGATCCGAGAGTGACACAGGAAGGAGTGGGTGGGCCAGGGGACCCCAGAGGAGGGGGAGCCCCACAACCGCCCAGAGACCTCGGCCGCAGGCGCCTCTGATTCTGTCCCTGCCCAGCCAGGTGAGGCCAGTTCCGAGGAAAGCGCCGCTTCCAGACGAATTTCCCCAGCGAGGCCCCGGCGAAGCCCCACCCTCCCTCTGGCAGCCGCGTGGCCAGACCCGCCTCCTCTGTGGATCGCGGCCTGGCTCCCCTGTTTTGTTCTGGAAAATTCCTCCTGTGCCCTGGGTGGTTCCCTTTGCCCGGTTTCCAGCCAGTCCAGTCCAGTCCGTCCCTCCTCTGTGGCCGGCCCCTTTCCCAGATCACCACCAGCCTCTGGCCCGCGCTGCCCCCACTGGCCACTTCCTGGCGGCCCCTGCCCAGGGAGGGCATGTGCCAGCACCTCCCAGAAGCCAGTGCGCTCAGCCAGGAGGCCCTGCACCCACTTGGCAGCGTCCTCCTCCCTCCAAATCTGTATACACGCACACACACATCCCCTCCACATACACCAGTGTTTCCCAAAGTGTGGTCCGCGGACCCACAGGGGTACGGGGGGAAGAGTCTGGTGGGGGTACACGTTGCACCGGAGTTTGGTGGGGATATGCACTGCACCGGGCTTAGCTGCATCTCATTCTACGTTCTCATGAGGACGAGGGGTCCTCAGCGTTACGAAAATTATAGAAGGGGGGCACCTATGTCAAAAGTTTGGGAAACTGCTCAAACCGGTTTGGCTCAGTGGATAGAGCGTCGGTCTGCAGACTGAAAGGTCCCAGGTTTGATTCCGGTCAAGGGCATGTACATTTTTAAAAATATATATATTTTATTGATATTTTGCGGAGAGGAAGGGAGAGAGAGAAACATCAACCAGCTGCCTCTTGCACACCCCCTACCGGAGATGTGCACGCAACCAAGGTACATGCCCTTGACCGGAATCGAACCTGGGGCCTTTCAGTCCGCAGACCGTCACTCTACCACTGAGACAAACCGGTTTCGGCAAGGGTATGTACCTTGGTTGCGGGCACATCCCCAGTAGGGGGTGTGCAGGAGGCAGCTGGTCGATGTTTCTCTCTCATCGACGTTTCTAGCTCTCTATCCCTCTCCCTTCCTCTCTGTAAAAAAATCAATAAAATATATTTTAAAATAAATAAATAAAATTGTACCCCTTTAAAAAAAAAAAGTTTTGGAAACACTGACAGACACAGACACACACACACACACACACACACACACACACACACCTGGCAGGTGAGCCCCAGGCAATTCCTGAGCCTGCCAGGAGCGGTGGGGGGGAATGCTGAGGCTCTGAGGACACAGTGGATGACGGTGGGGGCCGGCGCCACAAGGAAGAACCACACAGCAAGAGCTCCAGGCAGTGACATAAATATATTTTGGAAGCTGCCTGTGCACTCAGGGGCCGCCCAGGCCCGCCCATCTCCCCGCCCCTACGGTCCCCAGACCCACCCCACCACCCGCTTCTGTCTTTCCAGGCTGCAGCTCCAGGGCCAAGAGGGGGCTCCGGGGAGGGGGGTGGGCGTGTCGGAGGGCTGGGTGGGGTGGCGGCATCAGAAATGGCAGCATCCTGAGTGGCAGGGGGGGGCTGTCATCTCCTGCCTGGCACCTCAGGGTCTTGCTCCAGGGAACGTGGGGGGGGGGGGGGGGGGCGGGCTATTGGCGACAGAGGCTGGAAGGGGAGATCCTGAAGAGGGGGACCCCGGTTTTGCTCTTCCCTGCCCGGCCCAGACCTATCCAACTCCCACGGCGCCTAAGAACCTGGGATGGATGGATTGTCCTTCGGCCTTTGGCAAGATCAAGTGTAGGAAGCGGGAGGGAAGGTGCGGGAGGGCTGGGCGCCAGGGGTAGGGGGGAGGTGGGGCGGACGTGTGGGAGGTGAGGTGTGAGGAGGACAGAGGGAGAGGGAGAGACGGGGACACCCCCTCCTCCTCCCCCTCCCCCCCCCCACGGCACTACAATCAGGCGGGCGGTGGATGGAGGAGGAGGAGGAGGCGGCAGGACCCCAGAAGGCCGGGAGAACCAGGGATGGATGAGGGCAGTGCCCCACAGGGCCCTCCGGTCCCGTCCGTCCGCCGGTCCTACTACGCGCGCGCGCCGGTCCTACTACGCGCACCCCAGCAGCTCCACCCGGAGGGTGATCCGGTTGTGCCAGGACACGGGCAGGATGCGCACGTAACGGGCCACAAAGGGCACCTCGAACATGTTCTTCTTGTGGGAGTTATTGTCACAGTTGCCGGGGAAGATCTGGAGGCGGAGAACGTGTCAGGAAGGTCTCCCTCTCCCCATCCCCTCCCCCTCGGAGCCGCCTCCCCTCAGGGCTCCTCGGAGTGGCCGGGGGCGGGCGGCAGACACTCACCCTGGGGACCTCGGCCCCCGGCTCCTTGTACTCAGTCCACCTCCGGCCGTCGCTGCTGTGGGCCACCTTATAGGCCGCCACGTACTGGATGCTGCCGAAGTCCCGGGCCCCCTGCGTGACGATGCCGGCCACTTGCTTCAGAGAGCCTAAGTCGATCTACAGAGAAAAAGAATAAAATATAAAATTAAAATCAACCACCTTTGCTTGGCTTGCACCCTTTCCGGTCAAGTTGGGGGAAAGGCAGACACCCGGAGACGGGAAACGGGAGTTTGAGAGGGAAAGCTGCTTGTCATCCGGGATGAGGCTGTCCTCGGAGCCTCAGTTTCCTCATCTGTAAAATGGGCATAAATAGGCCCCGGCCCAGCGTGCCTCAGGGGTTGAGTGTCGACGTAGGAACCAGGAGATCATGGGTTGATTTCCACCCGGTCAAGGCACATGCCCGGGTTGCGGGCTCCATCCTCAGTGTGGGGCGTGCAGGAGGCAGCTGATCCATGACTCTCTCTCATCATGGAGGTTTCTCTCTCTCTCTCTCTCTCTCTCTATCTATCTATCTATCTATCTCCATTCCTCTCTGAAATCAATAAAAATATAAACATAAAAAGTAAGTACCGCCAAAACCGGTTTGGCTCAGTGTATAGAGTGTCGGCCTGCGGACTGAAAGGTCCCGGGTTCGATTCTGGTCAAGGGCATGGACGTTGGCTGCAGGCACCTCCCCAGGAGGAGGTGTGCAAGAGGCAGCTGATCGATGTTTCTCTCTCATCGACGTTTCTAACTCTCTATCCCTCTTCCTTCCTCTCTGTAAAAAATCAATAAAATATATATTTTTTAAAAAGACAAGACTCCAGAAACCCCCTCTTGGGGAGCAGAAGCCTGGGCCTGAGGAGGTCAGAGACCTGGCAGCACCCCCCCCCGACCCCCCACCCGACCCCCCACCCTCTCCCCGGAGCCGGCCCACCTGCAGCCACTCAGAGGCGGAGTTCCTCTCGGCGGTCCAGGCGTTGAACTTGCCCTGCTGATCCAGCCGTGCATAGGAGGGGTGCCAGCTGAAGGAGCCCAGGCCCCAGGTCCTGAAGGTGCTGGAGGCCGTGATCTGCTTGTCGGGGATGGTTCTGTCCTTCATGCCCAGAGGTTCATCACATCCTGCTAACGAGGGTGGCTGGTAGATCCGGGGCCCCCAGATTCCCGGGGGCGTGAGCAAGAGGCAGTGAGGCCGGAAGAGCCGGGTGGACCCCACCGGCCCCTGGCAGCCTCTTGAACAGAAGCTCTTTCTGCCTTTATTTTATTATTATTATTTTTTTAATATATTTTATTGATTTTTTACAGAGAAACATCAATGAGAGAGAAACATCCATCAGCTGCCTCCTGCACACCCCCCACCGGGAATGTGCCCACAACCAAGGTACATGCCCCTGACCGGAATCGAACCTGGGACCCCCGAGTCCGCAGGCCGACGCTCTATCCACTGAGCCACACAGGTTTCGGCTATAATTCTTATTATTCAAAACCTGAGCTCCTGTTCACGTGGAGGAAGCCTCCAAGGTCATGAACTTGGTCTAAACAAGCTTCCCAAGAACATGCCCTCCCTGAGAGAGAGAGATAAAAGAACGAAAGGACAGTTGGACTGAGGAAGACATCACTAAAAATTGTTAAAATAATAATATGAAGTGATAGGGAAAAAAAGAGCAAGTAAAGTCTCACATACAGAACAGAGAACGGAAATGCATACATATGTCACCATATATATTTATAGACAGAGAACCAGAAGACACGCAAAAGATTCACTTTTGCCGAAGCCGGTGTGGCTCAGTGGATAGAGCGTCGGCCTGCGGAGTGAAAGGTCCCAGGTTCGATTCCGGTCAAGGGCATGTGCCTTGGTTGCGGGCACATCCCCAGTGGGAAGACTGCAGGAGGCAGCTGGTCGATGTCTCTCTCTCATCGATGTTTCTAGCTCTCTATCCCTCTCCCTTCCTCTCTGTGAAAGATCAATAAAATATATATTTTTTAAATAAATAAATAAAATGAAAAATAAACCCAGCCAGGCACAGAAGTCAGCCCTGAATGGCACTGGGTGGTATCTGAAATGGGGGAGCAGAAAGCAGTGCCACGGAGGGGAAAGGGGGCGCGAAGGGTGGGGTCTTGGGGAGCATGAGAAAGGCGATGGGCCTTACAAGCCCTACAGTTCCGCCAGTGGCCAGCAGGTGGCACTGTGGCTGCAAAAAAAAAAAAAAAAGGCGGGAACTACTACCTGGATCTCAGAGAAAGCAGCTGAGCTGAGACAAGGAAGGTGGGCCGCCTGACCCCCTGCACCCTGATCTCCCCAAGGTCAGAGGAAACTCATCCCTTTCTTATCCTTATTCCTCTACCTGGGGCTGTCTCTGGAAATGGCAGCGGGAAGCACCAGCTACTCCAGAAGCCTTCCTTGTCTCTTAAATGCAGACAAACCTGAGTTTTTTGCGTTGGGGTAGAGAGTAAAATTACTGCATGGGTAGGTGTCAGAAGCCCAGGGATCTAGACCAAGTTTTAATGCCTGCCAGCCTTATGCCCTTGATAAATAATTTATCCGGGCCCTAGCCGGTTTGGCTCAGTGGATAAGAGCATCCGCCTGCAAGCTGAAGGGTCTCGGCTTCAATTCCATTCAAGGATACGTGCCCGGGTTGCAGGCTCCATCCCCAGTAAGTAGGCATGCAATGAGGCAGCCGGTCCATGTTTCTCTCTCATCGCTGATGTTTCTAACTCTCCCTCCCTCTCTCTTCCTCTCTGAAATAAATAAGAATATATATATTATTTTATTTTTTATTTATATCTTATTGATTTTTTTACAAAGAGGAAGAGAGAGGGACAGAGAGCCAGAAACATCGACGAGAGAGAAACATCGACCAGCTGCCTCCTGTACACCCCCCACTGGGGATGTGCCCACAGCCAAGGTACATGCCCTTGACCCGAATCGAACCTGGGACTCTTCAGTCCAGGCTGATGCTCTATCCACTGAGCCACACCGGTTTCAGCAACATATATATATATATCTTTTTTAATATTAATAATTTATCTGGGCCTCACTTTCCTCACTCATTCACTCCTTCATCAAGTACCATTCATTCATTCATTCATTCAGGCACCGTTCTAGGCACCGGGAATCCAGCCGTGAACAAATCAGACAAACTCCCCGCATGACTGAGCTGACATCTGCAACACAGAATGGAAGTTACGAGCCTAGAAGCTCAAGGAGCCCACCCATCAGAACTAAGTGACAATTGCCGGAACCGGTGTGGCTCAGTGGATAGAGCGTCGGCCTGCGGACTGGAAGGTCCCGGGTTCGATTCCGGTCAAGGGCATGGACCTTGGTTGCGGGCACATCCCCGGTGGGGGCTGTGCAAGAGGCAGCTGGTCGATGTCATCGATGTTTCTAGCTCTCTATCCCTCTCCCTTCCTCTCAAAATCAATAAAATACCGTGTTTCCCCGAAAATAAGACATCCTCCGAAAATAAGACCTACTTACAGGTTTCCTTCTGAGTAAAATATAAGGCATCCCAAAAAAATTAAGCCCCCCCCCCAGGCTAAACATGAGAGATTTGGCCCACTGATTCTGAAAGAAATGGAGTCCCAAGAAATTCACCAGGAAACTCAGGAATTGGATTGTTAGGTTGATGTTCCAGAAAATGATGACAATGATTGTCACTGAATAAAGGAGTCAATTCTTGATACTGTAGGACTCACAGTTTGTCTGGTTTGTGTTGACGACGACGACCGTCCTGCCGTACCGTATACAGGTAATAAATTTCCTTTGTTTTCATTTAACAATAAATGTGTACCGTATTCTTCTTCATGGAAAAATAAGAAGTCCCCTGAATATAAGACCCTTGCGCATCTTTGGGAGCAAACATGAATAGAAGACACTGCCTTATTTTCGGGGAAACAGGGTATATTAAAAAAATAAAAAAAGAATTAAGTGACCATACTCTGAGAACGGAAGTGGCGTCTCTTCTGTCCTCCACCCACCAGGATGCCATGGGTGGGCACAGACAGGATAGAACCCGGGCAGGGCTGCTGACGGCCGGGCGACCCCTCTCTGCAGCCTGAGCCCCAGGGTGGGGGTGGGGGTCCCCGGCCTTGCTGCCGCCCGGCTCCGGCTCCGTGTGGCTGAGAGGAGACGGGCCAGCCCTGGGGGCGGACCCCAGCCGCCCGCACTCACCATTCACCTCGCAGCCCAGGAGCTCCAAGCGCAGGGTGCAGCCCCGATGGCAGTCCACGGGCATCAGCCTCACATACTGCAGCTCGAGAGGGCCGTCGAACATGTTGACCTTCAGGCCGCTGTTGTCCACGTTCCCAGTAAAAATCTGGGAGGCAGAGACGGCGTGGAGGGAGGGTCAGTGTGGGCAGACCCCCTGCCTGGGTTCCCCCTTCCCTCCTGGGGCTGAGGGGGCCGGGAGGAGGGCTTAGCAGGGACTTGGCCATTCCAGTGGCCACCCCCCCCCCAACACCCCCAGGATTCCCCTTGTGCGCCAAAACCGGTGTGGCTCAGTGGATAGAGCGTCGGACTGTGGACTGGAGGGTTCCGGGTTCGATTCCGGTCAAGGGCATGTACCTTGGCTGCGGGCACATTCCCAGTAGGGGGTGTGCAAGAGGCAGCTGGTCGATGTTTCTCTCTCATCGACGTTTCTAACTCTCTATCCCTCTCAATTCCTCTCGGTGGAAAACCAATAAAAAACTATTTTTAAAAAAATGTTTAAAAGATTCCCCTTGTGTCACCTTTCCTGGTCATCACGGGGCCTGGGCATGCACCCCTGTCTTCCACACAGGGCCATCTGTCCATCCAGAGCAGCGGTTCTCAACCTTCCTAATGCCACCGCCCTTTATTTTTATTTTTTAAACATTTTATTGATTTTTTTTTTTTTTTTTACAGAAATGAAGGGAGAGGGAGCCCTGGGGTGCCGACCACAGCCCCTCCTGGCGGCCCAGGCGGCCTCCCTCACCTGGTCTCCCGCTTCCCCGTCTTTCTGGATGAACTTGAACTTCTTCCCGTCCAGGCTGTACGCCACCTTGAACATCTTCACGTACTCGGCTCGGCCGGCGCGGCTGGCGCCCTGGGTCACCACGCCCGTCACCTTCATCCTCCGCAGCAGGTTCACCTGGGCCCGGGGAGGGGAGGACAGACCCTTAGCACGCCCACATCCCCGCCCGGCCGGTGCTGCTCAGTGGTCAGAGCGTCGGCAGACGGGCTGGGAGGTCCCGGGTTCAACTCCGGTCAAGGGCATGTGCCTTGGTTGCGGGCACATCCCCGGTAGGAGGTGTGCAGGAGGCAGCTGGTCGATGTTTCTCTCTACTTGATGTTTTTAACTCTATCTCTCTGCCTTTCTCTCTGTAAAAAATAATAATTTTTTTTTTTTTTTTTTAATCAATAAGCTTAGCCGGCTTGGCTCAGTGGATACAGTGTCTGCCCATGGACTGAAGGGTCCCCGGTTCGATTCTGGCCAAGGGCACAGGCCTGGGCTGCGGGCTTGATCCCCAGTGGAGGGTGTGCAGGAGGCAGCCGATCAATGATTCTCTCTCATCATCTCTCTCTCCTTCTCTCTTTCTCTCTGAAATCAATAAAGAAATATATATATATATATATATATATATTTTTTTTTTAATCAATAAAATATATTTAAAAAAACAACACAAAACT